TGAAACCCCCACCTACTAACAGGTGATCCACAGTCTCTCACTGGCCGCCGACGATATCCCAACCCTGTTACCTGGGTGGTCCACAGCCCCTCACCGGTTGCCTGCAGTATCCCTACCCTATCACTCGGGTGGTCCCCAGCCCCTCACTGGCTGCCTGCAGTAACCCTACCCTATCACTCGGGTGGTCCCCAGCGCTGCCAATAACAACCCAACCCTCTTACTCGGGTGGTCCCCAGCCCTTCACCGGCTGTTGCGTCCCCTGCCCGCTAGGCAGTCAAGCTAAGATTTAAAAAGAAAACACATGCACCGGCCGTCACACACATTCATACAAGCACTCAGGAGGCAGATAGACAATCGACAGGTTCGTTAAAAGAGGCACCGGATAAGATATTACCTGTCTTGTAGCCTTCTGGAAGCCGGAAGTGGACGCGGAGGCAGACCGACACAAAACAGGAGAATACAGGCAACGGCTGTATTTTGGAGGTGATCAGGCTCCAGTTGTCCCACTTTCCGGAGGTCCACTCCGGTCCGTTGGTTTCCAGCCCTCCTAACTGGCAAGTCCGGAGCCACACGTTGGGCACCAATTGAAGTGGAAATCAATCAATAAATTGATTATCTTGTGTATCTACCCCTGGCCAAATTAAAGAAACAGTGCGTGCAAGCTCCCTGAAGTAATTCACACCAGACAAAAGTTTCAGGTTGATGAAAAACTTGAGGAATGTTTATTCAAAGGGGACGGCATGTCCCTTTTAAAGCAAAATTACATCATATGCATTGTCAGAGATAACATGAAATAATACCTTATTAATTGGTTAGGTGTTAAGTGGTCTTCTTAATGTTCTGCCTACTGAGGGTGATGTCACTGGGACCATGAGGGACTCCCCCAGATTCCAGCGCCATCTTGTTACATGAGGTAGTTAGTCGATGTTAAGGGGAGGGAGGGGTTGGAGGCTCCTAGTGGCCATTTTGACTAATCATATATTAGTAGACTGTAACGGCACCCACAGGCATAAAAGGGTTAAACCGCCGTTTAGTAGATCTTCCCTTCCAGAGGCACAGCTACTGCAGAACACCAAACTCCCGAACAGGATATCAAGTAGCACTCCAAATTCCCGAACTGGAACCTCACGAATAGCTGCTGGCAGCTGAACAGGAAAAGTACCCAAGCAGCTTACACTCCTGGCAATCAGTCTTTAACAGCATACAGTAAATCCCCCCAAGAACGGGACAAAGCTCCGTGTTGGGGGTCAAGCAGTGAACAGACAGAGCTGTGGGTTTATTGTGCATATGTACACATTCTTACACATTAGTACCACCCACAGGGTTTTGGAACACAACCAATAAACACATACAATACACTCAGACACTCCCACACAAATTCCTCCCCTCTGCTTGTGATTCAATTACCTTACACAATGGGTAATGTAATTTAGCACAAGCAGAGAAATAAAATTTTTCCACATTATTCATAACTTGAAAAGTATGCATCACATTCACATAAAACTTACATTTTCAGCATACTCCAAATACAAACATACATCAAAATCATACAAATTGGTCCAGTGGTTCAAAAGATAGATGGAAGTCCTTTGTGACCACAGGAAGCATGGCTTTTCTGCCCAAAACCAGTTCCACAGAGTCTTCTATCCTGGAGATAATTGTGAAGTAATCCAATTATCTCCAAAGACAGAGGCAAAACTCCATTGAACACATGGCAGCAAAAAGACAGTAAAATACAATAAAATACACAAGGTTACATTTATGACATAAAATACCGACATGCAACATATGCCCAGATAGCTTAGGTCTGAGCGCACATTATTACTGAATGGCGCTCAGAGCACACACACAGGGCCGGTGCTAGGATTTTTGGCTACACAGGCGAAGACGCCCCTTCCTCCCCCCCCCAAAAAAAACGCATCTTCACCTCTGTGTCTCGCAGCCCCCCTTTTGAATTTCTTACCCCTATTAGTGTTGCATATCCACTCTCTTGAATGTCTTACCCCTTTGGCCCCTTTGTGCCTTTAGTGTGTCTCCTACAACCACTCTTATGTATTTCTTACTTCCCCGCCAGCCCCTTTCTGTCTGTTTCATCCCCCCAGTCACTATCTATCTCTTTTTCTCCCATATAAACATAGACATAGATACAGGCAAAAATACATACATGCACAAATACACAAACATACAGACATAATTATTCAGGCACACAGTCACAAAGATATACAGACACACAGTCATAAAAGGCACACAATCAAACAAACACAGTCATACAATCTACACATGTAGGTACATTGTCGTACAAACACAGACATACATTCATACAGACACACATTCATACAGACACAGGCACACACAGAAATACAGACACAAACATAAAGAAACATAGAGATAGGCATATAGAGACATACATACAGAGTGATACAGAGACATACATACGCAGACGGTCATAAAGAGACATACAGATAAGGCATACAGAGACATACATACACAGACAAACAAAGAACCCTGCACACTGATTCCGTGTAAATGCTCCGGCCATCCACAGTGGTGGATGCTCCATGTCAGGCAGACATCGCTGGATCCACCAGTAAAGTCTTCAAAAGGAATAAACGCAAGCAACACTGCAATAGTAAGAAAGTGCGACGTTTCGGCTCAGCAGAGCCTTATTGCATGATTAATTATTGCATGATTAAGGTTCTGCTGAGCTGAAACGTCACACTTTCTATGGGGTGGTTCACTTACCAATAAATATACCATCCTTACTATTGGAGTGTTGCCTGCGTTTATTCCTTTTGAATACATACACATACAGAAAGAGTCTGTGTATGTATGTCTGTGTATGTAAACAGGATGGCTAAAAGATAGATCCCCATCTGTCGTGCAACTTCAACAACGGCTCTACCGATTCCCCATGCTTGCAGGATTGTATTTAGCACAGAGCAGTATTTGTGTGTTTGACTGTAAGCATGTGTTTGTATGGAGTATGTTTGTGTGAATGTAGGGGTGTGTTTGTATGTAGTGTTTGCGTTTAAATGCAAGCATGCATTTATGTGTAGTGTTGGTTTTTGAATGCAGATGTGTGTTTATATATAATTTTGGTGTCTGATACAGAGTTGAGTTTGTATGTACTGTTGACGTTTGCATGCAGGTGTTTATTTGTGTGTAGTGTTGGTGTTTGAATGCTGAGATGTATGCACATATACATATACACTACGACACACGCACACACTGTGATACACATACACGAAAATACACACACTGACACACATGCAGATACACATATACACAAACTGATACACATTCAGATAGACAGATACACACATATATTCAGATACACACAAACACACACTGACATACAGACACACTGACAGATACACACTGACAGACATACAGATACACACATACACAATGATGGACATACAGTCGCACACAGACACACTGACAGACATACACAAACACACATACACACACACAGTGACAGACAGACATACACACACACACACAGACATATAGATACACACAGACACACTGACAGACATACACACAGACAGGCATACACATACACACAGAGACACACTGACAGACATACACACACAGACACTGACAGACATACACAAACACACTGACAGACAGACACACTGACAGACATACACACAGACACACTGACAGACATACACACTGACAGACATACACAAACACACAGACACACTGACAGAAAGACACACTGACAGACAAACAGGCACACACACACACTTTTATATACTTTTCTAGCCACTCTCCTGTTTCCTACTTTGTTCAGGAGGGTGGCTTACCTGGGATCCAAAGTGCTGCCTGAGGTAGTTGGGAGTTGGAGGAGCTGGTCCTGCCCAGCCCCCCTCCTCTCTGCCTTCTGCTGCTGTAGTCTTCTTGGGAGGACTTCCTCCCATGCTGATTAGAAGGGGGCCGGTGGTATCTCCGCCCCTGCTGGGCGCCAGCCGCGCTGTGTGCTACAGAGGGAGCAGGGATATGACGTTCATATCCCCGCCCCCTCCACACAGTCCGCGGCACTGCAGGTTGGCGCTCGGCCACGCTACAAGAAGTGACCGTCAGGAGAGGGGAGCTGTGCGCTTCCCTCCTGCCGGTCACCCGGACATTTGCGCCCCCGGTCCGGTGCGCCCTAAGGCAGCCGCCTGTGCCGCCTTATGGACGCGCCGGCCCTGCACACACATACAGTTCAATTGCCATGTAGCCAAAGTCTTTCCCATAGTCTTTCATTATACGAATGGGCTCCATGGCATAGCTATCTGGGGTATCACTGCTCAAACAGGGCAAGCACCAAATGACCCAGCTTTCTTGTCTTTGCAGGGGAAAATCAAGCCTTTTAACATGGGGCCATAATCCAAAGGCAACAGGCGAGCAACCAGGCTTCTCCAATTCAATGTGGCGAGATTGATCTTGTCACATAGACTAAGTGCTGATTACAGTTAGATGAGTAAATAGACATTTTACTAGCTACAAATTATGTCAATATCTCATTTCCACAACACCAGCATACAGCTAAGGGCAGTGAATACATTGTCTATAAGATAAATGTAATAAATACTGTATTATACCCCAACATACAGCTAATGGCAGTGAATACATTGTATATAAGATTAATGTAATAAATACTGTGTTATATCCCAACATACAGCTAATGGCAGTGCATACATTGTATATAAGATTAATGTAATAAATACTGTATTATATCCCAACATACAGTTAATGGCAGTAAATACATTGTATATAAGATTAATGTAATAAATACTGTGTTATACCCCAGCATACAGCTAATGGCAGTGCATACATTGTATATAAGATTAATGTAATAAATACTGTATTATACCCCAACATACAGCTAATGGCAGTGAATACATTGTATTTCTTAGCTGCTGAGATAGATGAAGAGGTATCTACTGAGTGTGTTTTGTTGCAACATACTCATTGGTCAGTTTCTCCCATGTTGCAGGTATAAAGGGAAAGGAATCAGTGTGCATGACAATCAGCTAATCACTGCCAGACCAGAGCTGTTATGGAGATAGAAACAGCCAGGACATGGCTATCTCTGGACATTCAGCACTATCTGCGACTTTTGCTGACACTTTGCCTTTTGGCAATTGTGCTGAAAATTTCACAACTGTTCATTAAAAGGAGGAAAGTAGAGAAAATATTCCAGCAATTCCCAGGACCCCCTAGACACTGGCTTCTGGGGAATGTGGATAAGGTGAGTGTAGGATATATTTAAATACCCAGATCTGGAACAGGAGGGCTGCACTCCCCTAAACATGCATACATTATAAGGGTGCTGCTTGGGCCAGTTGTAGGATTTGCCAAAAATGGGTGTATTGGCATTGTGGCAGGCTGGTGCAGTGTATAACCATAAATCGATTGTTCAATTAGATCCCTTGAGTGTTGAGGTTTCTTGGTTTTTTTTTTTTACTAGATTATTGAGTGCACTGGATTCTATATGGTTTTTAGAAACTGATCTCAGACCACAGCACCTTCATAATGTATGCATGGGAAATGCAAACAGTGCCATGGTTAATGACTGAAGTGGGAATTCATAGTGAATATCAAATTTAAGGCGAAAATAGATAAATTGAGGTTTTGCAGTTTGTTTGCAATTTTCTCTTTAGTAATTATTCCTATGGTGTGTGGATTTTTATTTTTTTGCTTCAAAATCTAAATCTAATCTGTTTGTGTATAGAAGGGGTTAATGCATTTCACAAATAATTACTTATTTTGTGGGAAGATGACACTTTCATATATTCTTCTATTAAGGGTTAAGTATGATTTTTGCAAATATCAAAGGTCATTAAGAAACCCAGCATTTTAGCATTTTTGATCTTTGACTTAAAGCACACATTCAAAGTTATTCAGTAAACGCAAACCGGAATATTTACTAAAGTGAGTAAAAAATGTTAAACTTTAACCCCTTCAGGACGGAGTCAATAGTACACATTCTGATCAAAACAAAACGTAAACAAAAACTGGAATTTGCACTATATGTCTGTTCAACCATAATTCACCTTTCATATTAAATTCACCCACACTTATTATATATCATTTTGTTCAGGAGAAACAGGGCTTTCATTTCAAATATGTATATATGAAACAATTTATTATGAATAAAATTTAAAAAACTGTGAATTTTTTTATTTTTTTAAATTTGTACTTCCGCCTCACATTTTAGCTGTAAATGTCATATTTGGCCAGTGTTTGTGACTAAGTGGCTACTAAAAATGACTGGACATACCCCATCTGCAATACCTTGGGTGTCTACTTTTGCAAATGGTATGCCATCATGGGGGTAATTCTTATTCCTGGTCTACCATACGGTCTCAAATGCAACATAACCAATCTGACAAATTTCAATGTGAAAAAAATGAAATGCAAGCCTTATATGTGACACTCTAACTTTCCAAAACACCAGAAAACCTGTACATGGGGGTATTGTTATTCTCAGGAGACTTTACTAAACACAAACATTAGTGTTTTAACCCCTTAGCGACCGAGGACGGTTCAGGACCGTCATCGGCATTTTTGCCTTGAGGACCGATGATGGTCCTGAACCGTCCTAACGGTCTTAGTTACTTACCTGATCGCCGTCGTTCCCCCGGCGGCGATCAGCGTGGCTCCGGTTGTGGGGAGACTGCCTGCAGCCCAGACAGTCTCCCCACACTGAATTAGGACCCCTGTGGCCATGTGATCGCTTAACACAGCGATCACATGGTCACAATAGGTGTCCATAGTGCTGCCTGCAGGGGGACTGTCTGTGCTGACAGGCAGTCTCCCTGCATGTGTAAAATCAATAAAAAAAAATAAAGTTAGTGTTAATTAAAAATAAAAAAATATTATATTTGTGTATATATGATATATAGACATATATTATATCTATATAATATATGTCTATATATCATATATATATATATATATAATGCCATACTAAGTGTATTTTTATATTAATATGTACTTATATTAATATAAAAATACACTTATAATTAAATTACACGTGTGTGTGTGTATATATATATATATATATATATATATATATATAATAACTATATATATATTGTGTGTGTGTGTATATATATATTATTATAAAATATAAATAATAAGTAATTTAAATTAAATAAAAAATTTTTAAAATAATAATAAAAAAATAAAAAAAAATATATATCTATATGAAATTTTATTCTAACTGTATTTTAAAATTAATATATATATATATTTATATCAAAATACACTTAGAATGAATTTGTATATATATCTATGTATATAAAAATAAATAAAAAATAATAAGAAATATACATATGTCCATATAGAAAATTACATAAATAATTATATAAATATACACGTAGACTTCAAATATATAAATATGCATATATATTTAAATTCTACGTGCGTATTTATGTAATAGTTTTACATAATTCAGTAATTTTATTGATTGCAATTTAAGGGACCTGCCTGCCAACCCAGGCCGAAATTCCAGAGAATTGAATTTGCTAGCACTGTATTTTACCCTGTAACGTTCTACGACACCCTAAAACCTGTACATGGGGGGTACTGTTTTACTCGGGAGACTTCGCTGAACACAAATATTAGTGATTCAAAACAGTAAAACATATCACAGCGATGATATTGTCAGTGAAAGTGACTTTTTTTGCATTTTTCACACACAAACAGCACATTTACTGATGATATAATTGTTGTGATACATTTTCCAGTTTTTAAACACTAATATTTGTGTTCAGCAAAGTCTCCCGAGTAAAACAGTACCCCCCATGTACAGGTTTTATAGTATTTTTGAAAGTTACAAGGTCAAATATATGGGTCAAATATTTTTACATTGAAAATGGCCAGGTTGGTTACGTTGCCTTTGAGAGCGTATGGTAGCCCAGGAATGAGAATTACCCCCATGATGGCATACCATTTGCAAAAGAAGACAACCCAAGGTATTGCAAATGGGGTATGTCCAGTCTTTTTTAGTAACCACTTGGTCACAAACACTGGCCAAAATTAGCGTTCAATTTAGTTTTTTTACTTTTTTCACACACAAACAAATATGAATGCTTACTTTGGCCAGTGTTTTAGACTAAGTGGCTACTAAAAAAGACTGGACATACCCCATATTGAATACCCTGGGTTGTCTACTTTAAAAAAAATATGTACATGTGGGGTGTTATTCAGAGATTTATGACAGATAATAGTGTTACAATGTCACTATTGATAAATTTAAAAAATTTATGTTTTGAAACCGCAATATTCTACTTGTACCTATAGCCCTATAACATGCAAAAAAAAGCATGTAAACACGGGGTATTTTTAAACTCAGGACAAAATTTTGAATCTATTTAGAAGTTTTTTTAATTCGCTTTTGTAGATGAGTAAAAGATTTTTCAAGTAAAAGTCAAAAAACATGTATTTTTTTCAATTTTTCATCATATTTTTTTATTTTTTTTAAAATTAAAATACATGAGATTATATAAATAATGGTATGTAAAGAAAGCCCCTTTTGTCCTGAAAAACAATATATAATTTGTATGGGAACAGTAAATGAGAGAGCGGAAAATTCCAGCCAAACACAAACACCACAAAAGTGTAAAAATATGCCTGGTCGCAAATGTACAACATCGCAAAAACAGTCCAGTCCTTAAGGGGTTAAAACAGTAAAACATATTACAACAATAATATAGTTCATAAAAGTGCCTTTTGTTTGTAAAAAATTCTAAAAAGTCACTTTTACTTAAAATATCATTGTTGTAATACAATTTACCAGTTTGAAACACTAATATTTGAGTTCAGCGAAGTCTCCTGAGTAAAACAGTACCCCCTATGTACAGGTTTTATGGTGTCTTGAAGAGTTACAGGGTCAAATATAGTGCTTGCAAATTAAATTCTCTGCACTTTGTCCCTGTGTTGTCAGGCATGTCAATCAAATTTTAATTAATCAAATCACATAATTATGTTAAAAGATTACTTAAATATACACGTAGAATTTATATATATATATGGATTTCTAGGTATTGAAATTCGACGTGTATACTAATGTAATTTTGTGTGTGTGTGTGTGTGTGTGTGTGTGTATCAGGGCCGGATTAACATAGGGGCTGATGGAGCTGCAGCTCCAGGCCCAGGCCCATGGAATAGGCCCATTGATTTATAAAAAAAAAAAATATATTATTATTTTTTTTTACATTTTTTTTTTTCACACACTTCTCTTATGGATTCCACCTGGCTTTTATTTTAGTGGCACAGCCAGTATTTGAGGCTGTGTGGCTGGTGCCAATATTACAGTGATACTGGCAATACAAATGCTGGTATTTTTCTCAGTATAAACAAGAGATTACTCTGCAATACCAGCACTGGCCAGTAGGGGTCGTTGTATGTGGAGACAGGCAGGGATAGGAAGTTCCAGCATATCCCTCCCTGCCTATCTATACTCACTGATCTGCAGGGGTGCAGCTACAGAGAGTCCAGACAGCAACTCCCACCCTGCAGAGACAGCCTACAGCTCAGGGAAGTAAGGGATGGGGGGAAAGGCTGCAAGGAGACATGGGGACACTGAGACACTAAGGGACATTGGGAGACATTATGACACAGACACATGGTGACACAGTGTCCCCATGTCTCCCAGCCAGCGTCCCTGGTGTCTCAGTGCCCCCTAGTCTCCCAGTGCCCCCAGTCTGCCAGTGTCTCACTGTCCCCATGTCTCCTAGTGCCTCCATGTCTCCCAGTGTCTCAATGTCCCCATGTCTCCAAGCTAGTGTCCCTAGTGTCTGTGGCCCTGGTGTCTCCTTGTCCCCATGTCTCCCAGTGCCCCCATGTCTCAATGTCCCCATGTCCCCCAGCCAGTGTCTCTAGTGTCTGTGTCCCTGGTGTCTGTGTCCCCATGTCTTCAAGTGTCCCCTATTTTCCCAGTGTCCCCATGCGTCCCAGCCAGAGTCCCCTAGTCTCCCAGTGTCACTGGTGTCTCCGTGTCCCTAGGTCTCCCCGTGTCCCCAGGTCTTCCCGTCTTCCTAGTGACATGGGGACCCTGGCATACATGGGGACACAGGGAGACATGGGGCATTGAGACACTGTGATACATAGGATCACTGGAAGACCTGGGGACACGACAGTAGGGGACACTGGGAGACATGGGGCACTGAGACACTGATACATAGGGACACTGAGACCTGGAGTAATCGACACATGGGGCACTGGGAGACATGGGGCCACTGGGAGGAATCCATCCATACAGCAGAATCAAACTAAGTATTTTTTTGGTGATTTTACAGCATTTTCTCTTATGTCACTCCTTGTGATTTACATCATGAGATGTCACCCATACATATTTAATTATGCAAATTAGCAAGGCTGGCATGTTTTTCCAAGAAAGGTGGCAACCCTAACTACTTTTCACATACTCTTACTTAAGTATGGAAACTTAAGAGGGATGTATGGGAACAAAACTTGTGTGGACTGGCTGACAATGAATATAGTTAAAGGGACACTATAGTCACAAGAACAACTACAGCTTATTGAATTTGTTCTGGTGAGTAGAATCATTACCTTCAGGCTTTTTGCTGTAAACACTGTCTTTTCAGAGAAAATGCAGTGTTTACATTACAGCCTAGTGATAACTTCACTGGCCACTCCTTAGATGGCTGTTAGAGATCCTTCCTGGGTCATGGCTGCCTAAAATGCATCCAAACATTCAGTGTCTCCTCCCTCTGCATGCAGACACTGAACTTTCCTCATAGAGATTCATTGATTCAATTCATCTCTATGAGGAGATGCTGATTGGCCAGGGCTGTGTTTGAATCATGTTGGCTCTGCACCTGATCTGCCTCATTGTCAGTCTCAGCCAATCCTATGGGGAAGCACTGTGATTGGATTAGGCCACCACTTCTAATAATGTCAGCAAACTGCTTGTTTTTCTGAGTCTAACAGAATGCAGAGTTACAGCTTCAGGCTTGAATACAGTAAGATTGTGCTATATTTATGGAGGCATGAGGGGCCCAGGGGGACTAGATGGTGGTGTTAACACTATAGGGTCATGAATTCATGATTGTGTTCCTGACCCTATAGTGATCCTTTAAAGTAATGCTGACTTTGGTCCCTCTAACACTGTGGCATGTTCCCTTTCTTCTACACTCACTACATACAGCTTTTCTCTGTCCCAGACTATATACCAGGAGCTTCTGCCTGCTAGTAAGAAGGTAAGGAGGCAAGTGGACCAGCGAGTGCTAGGGGACAGTCCTTAGAAAACGTTGAGCGAGCGCATCATTAGATGCATTTATGATTTGTGTCAGTGGCACACCCTTTTACCATGCCCATTGACTTCCTGCTTGACTGGACACTGCTGTTAGGGGTTATGGATTTACTTGAAAGATGAAAACATAAATTAGAGAGAGATTAGCCTTTTCTTATAGCTGCTGTTTTCTTTCTCTCCAGCACCATATCCATCAGATACATGACGCTTGGGAGTGTTTTACTGTTTTTGGTCGATATGATTCTGTAATTAGGCCCATCATAATTGTCAGCACCAGGCCCACTGGGCTCTTAATCTGGCCCTGGTGTGTATGTATGTACAGGGAGTGCAGAATTATTAGGCAAATAAGTATTTTGACCACATCATCCTCTTTATGCATGTTGTCTTACTCCAAACTGTATAGGCTCGAAAGCCTACTACCAATTAAGCATATTAGGTGATGTGCATCTCTGTAATGAGAAGGGGTGTGGTCTAATGACATCAACACCCTATATCAGGTGTGCATAATTATTAGGCATCTTCCTTTCCTTTGGCAAAATGGGTCAAAAGAAGGACTTGACAGGCTCAGAAAAGTCAAAAATAGTGAGATATCTTGCAGAGGGATGCAGCACTCTTAAAATTGCAAAGCTTCTGAAGCGTGATCATCGAACAATCAAGCGTTTCATTCAAAATAGTCAACAGGGTCGCAAGAAGCGTGTGGAAAAACCAAGGCGCAAAATAACTGCCCATGAACTGAGAAAAGTCAAGCGTGCAGCTGCCACGATGCCACTTGCCACCAGTTTGGCCATATTTCAGAGCTGCAACATCACTGGAGTGCCCAAAAGCACAAGGTGTGCAATACTCAGAGACATGGCCAAGGTAAGAAAGGCTGAAAGACGACCACCACTGAACAAGACACACAAGCTGAAACGTCAAGACTGGGCCAAGAAATATCTCAAGACTGATTTTTCTAAGGTTTTATGGACTGATGAAATGAGAGAGTCTTGATGGGCCAGATGGATGGGCCCGTGGCTGGATTGGTAAAGGGCAGAGAGCTCCAGTCCGACTCAGACGCCAGCAAGGTGGAGGTGGAGTACTGGTTTGGGCTGGTATCATCAAAGATGAGCTTGTGGGGCCTTTTCGGGTTGAGGATGGAGTCAAGCTCAACTCCCAGTCCTACTGCCAGTTCCTGGAAGACACCTTCTTCAAGCAGTGGTACAGGAAGAAGTCTGCATCCTTCAAGAAAACATGATTTTCATGCAGGACAATGCTCCATCACACGCGTCCAAGTACTCCACAGCGTGGCTGGCAAGAAAGGGTATAAAAGAAGAAAATCTAATGACATGGCCTCCTTGTTCACCTGATCTGAACCCCATTGAGAACCTGTGGTCCATCATCAAATGTGAGATTTACAAGGAGGGAAAACAGTACACCTCTCTGAACAGTGTCTGGGAGGCTGTGGTTGCTGCTGCACGCAATGTTGATGGTGAACAGATCAAAACACTGACAGAATCCATGGATGGCAGGCTTTTGAGTGTCCTTGCAAAGAAAGGTGGCTATATTGGTCACTGATTTGTTTTTGTTTTGTTTTTGAATGTCAGAAATGTATATTTGTGAATGTTGAGATGTTATATTGGTTTCACTGGTAATAATAAATAATTGAAATGGGTATATATTTGTTTTTTGTTAAGTTGCCTAATAATTATGCACAGTAATAGTCACCTGCACACACAGATATCCCCCTAACATAGCTAAAACTAAAAACAAACTAAAAACTACTTCCAAAAATATTCAGCTTTGATATTAATGAGTTTTTTGGGTTCATTGAGAACATGGTTGTTGTTCAATAATAAAATTAATCCTCAAAAATACAACTTGCCTAATAATTCTGCACTCCCTGTATGTATATATATATATATATTTTTAATAACAAAATATAGTTAGAATAAAATTACATATGAATATATAAATTATATAAAATTTTGTTTCAATATTTTATTTATTGTAAGTGTGTGTGTGTGTGTATGTATATATATATATATATATATACACTAATATTAGTATTAAAATACATTACGTATGACGTTACACATATATATTATATAATATAGTGTGTGTGTAAAATATATATATATATTTTTTTTTTAATTTACCTACCAGCAGGGGGACTGTCTGATATTTCAGAAAGTCCCCCTGCTGGCAGATCAACAGCCAGCTATAGGGGGCCTCATTCGCCGGGGGAGGACTGCCTGGGTTGTCAGGCAGCCCTCCAGAAGAGGATCGCGGCGGAGGTAAGTAAATATTACCTCCCCTGGGCTTAAGCCGTTACGGCGTTCTATGCCGCCGCAACAGCTTTAAAGCCGCAACGGCATAGAACGCTGTAACGGCGTTAAGGGGTTAAGTTGCAAATAGCTGAACTGGAAACACTCCCTTAGCATTTATATTTATAGACTGAAACGAGACAAGTGTTCAGCCTTTCTCACATTTGTTTTTTGCTGTTGATCCAAAACAAGGCAACAAACCCCAGTTTGAAGCAATTCCAATTTTGCAACAAACTATGGGCTATAAGACCTTATTTGGAGAGTGCACATTCCAGTTTTCCAACTTGGAATTTTCACAGTTGGTCATCATGCACCCATGTCCTATTTGGGACACTTTTGAAGCCAGCCAATGTAATTTACCCCCTCAAACCATATATTTTTGAAATGTAGACACCCTAGGGTATTTCAAATGGGGGTATTTTAACACTTTGCATGCACTAATTCTACCACCAGTCTTTTTTAAACTTTTGGGTAATCATTTTTTGGGGGTTATTTTTCTCTCACATTGTACTCTAGTCATGGCTTCTCATTTCCTTTTATGTGATACTGACAAAGAACACCCCACTATGTGTTCAACATCTCCTGAGTACAGCAGTGCCCCCAATGTACAGGCTTTATGGATTTTTGGAAACTTACATTGGTCAAATTTAGGGCTTTCCATATTTGCCAAATTGGTTTGCTGGGCCTATGTTGCCTTTGAGATCCAGGAATGAAAATTAACCCCATCATGGAATAACATTTGTAAAAGTAGACAACCCACGGTAATCAAAATGTCCAGTCTTTTTTTTTTTTTTTTTTGTAGCTACTTAGCCACAAACCCTGGCCAAAGGTAGCATTTTTTTGCTCTACACAAAAAACTGCACTTTTACTGGTGGTTTCATTGTCGTGATACATTTTACTGTTTTAAAAACTCACATTTTGTGTTCAGCCAAGTCTCTTGCGTGTCAGGATGGCGGTCCGGTGACCGGGACCCAGACACTGTCTGGGGGGCGGTCGGAGGACCCAGTATGTCTAATGTGGAAGTAGGAGTCACTGTGTGGAAGTGAATTAGCAGGGTCTGGTGCAGGGTAATGGCACACCCCCTGGTGTTGAGCACCAGCGTTTGTGCGGCCACATACCAGGACCCTGATGCAGCTTCAGCGGATCCCACGAACTAGGAGCTTGGAAATAAGCAGACCTCCAGGAGGCTCTGCCGCAGGAATGTATCCAGTACAGAAACAAGGCAAGGCTAGGACAGACACCAAACATGAAAACAAGACAGAACTAGTAGAACCCAGAACCAGAGAAGGATAGGAAGCTAAACCCAGAACATGTACACAATACATAAGGGAAACATTAACAGAACAGGGACAGGACAGGACTGTACATGGACTGGGAATACAAAATAAAACAAGACAAGATATAATAGGCAAAACAAGAGGAGAAACAACTAAGCACTATATGTGAAAAATTATCAGGATTTAGTTAAACTGCATAAGCCTGCCACAATGCCAATGTACCCCATATTTAACAGGTCCTACTCTGCCTAATGTCTGCTAAATAAAGCACATAGAGCACTTACCTGCAAGAAAAGGCAAAGAATTTGAGCAACTGCCTGCAGGAATCAGACTGAAACAAAAGGAATCTTGGAAAAGGGGTGTGGCAACATAAAACAAACATTTAAATGAATCCAGGAGATTGGGAATTCCAGGAACGGAATACCGGAATGAATACAGAAAACCCAGCATAAAGAAAACCAGACATGGAATAGAAAACCAGAAAAACTAAACAAGAATTGTAAAAAGAGTACTGGATACCAGAAGCCATTGCCAGAATGATCCACAGCTAGGAACAGGATGTGACACCGAGTAAAACAATATCCCCCATGTACAGGTTTTACCCTTAGAGCGGCTGGAAGCGATCAAGATTGCTTCCAGCACTCAATTTGGCTGCGGACGTACAGGGGTTAAACATCTGTCCGGACTCTGATAAAATAACTTCTTCAGGCAGGGAATTCCACATCCTTGGTTTTTCTTATGGTAAAAAACCCTTTCCTTTGCCTTAGATGAAATCTTCTTTCTTCCAGTCTAAACTCATGTCCTATGTATAGTCCGGTTTGTGAATAGATTTGCTTTCACTTACAAATTCTTACTACGTTACTCTGGCCTTTAGTTTGAAATTTACTTTGAATTCACTTTTAAATCAGAAACTGTAATCCTGAGCTATAAAATCAGAGCAAATGTTACCTATTTTTGAACAGGATAAGTTTAAGACTGTCACCCAAAAACATTTTAGTCTCAGTGTGGGTAGGGGAGGCTAAGTGACGCAAAAGAAAGTTTCATATACAAAGTAAGAGGACTATGAGTAACATTAAGCAAGTATTGAATGTCACACCAGGAAGACACATATTGTTTCATACAAATGATATGCTGATTGTAATACTTATTTGGCAGCTCCGTCGAGATGGGAATGATTTGGATACTCTGGTCACTTGGTCAAAAAAGTACGGAGGAGTCTATCCAATATGGTTTTGGAACTTTACCGCATTCTTGTTCCTCAGTCATCCGGACTATGCCAAAGCTGTATTTGGACGAGAAGGTGAGAGATTACATCAACGCACCTGAACTATTTAATATTGTTGAAATGTTTTTATATATTTTTTTTTTTTTTTTAACTTCACAATTTTTATTATTTTGTCAGTTTGTAGCCTATTTCAATTGTTAAGTTATGTTTACCCGCTATAAATTTGTTATACTTTTTCATTTTCTCATGAAACGACCTTCAGCATTTAAACTTAAATAAATGAAGCTCATGTAATTATGTTTATTTATTTACTTTTTAGAACCCAAAGCGACAACTTACAGATTTCTCATTCCATGGATTGGTATGATGCATATCTAAAATTATTTTGATACTGTTACAAAAACTCTCTATATATATTTTTTGAATTCCACAGGATAAAATTTTAAAATAACATTATTGTAAATCAATCAACAGAGAGGGATGGTATAAACCTACCAGTACTTGGGGAGCTTTTTCCTAATGGGTTCCATCATAGGATTGGCAAAAAACAAATGTTGCACATAATTAAAAACAAGATAACAAAATTAAAAATCTTTGAGCTTACTACAGATCTCCTAGCATTGGGCAGTATGAACTCTGGATTGGCGTGCAAAGGAACATGTCACTGGAAACACCCAAAATGGGAAACCCTGCCCCAAAATGGGGTGGGGCCACACTAGAGGGCCATATCAACATGCGTTGAATGCACGCAAGACTGACAACCTTTCAGCTGGGCCCCACTCAGGGCAGTCCATTTACAGAACTCTGTGGTAGCACTGTCTACATGATCCTAGTGTCCTCAGCACATGCAAGCATGTCTGATTCACTCATGCTATGCTTGTTGGGAGCCGTCGCCAGCCAAGGACTCATGGAGTGTGAGATGTATGAGATCCTTAAGTTCAGCACTACACAAAACTAAAGGTTCAGGATCTGTCAATTTCATGCACTACATATTGATGTGTATGAATATACAAATCAACCTAACCCTAAGTGAAAGGTGTGAAACAAAACACTTATCTTATTAAATGGTATTTATTGTACACCGCTTCCCGAAGGGATGTCCTAGGATATAGTCTCTTATAGAACAATCTAAATATTGGTGATACAGCTGTTAATCTACAAAACAAGAAAGCTATAGCATAATGTAATAATACACTGTGTAAATATAAACACACTCTGGGTGCCTCCCCTTAGATATGTTGGGGGGGAGGGGGTTGGTGAGGTGTGATCCTTCCTGCTCCAGGTAATGAACACAGGATGGTGTGCAAAATACTGCTAATTTACCAATTAATTAATTTACCAATAATTTAACCAGAAGGTTATCCCTGAACTGAGAAAAGCACACAGTAAAGATGCTAACTTTCCTGTCCCTGTATTCATTCATGTAGAATTCTACAACTGGTATATTTTGCTGATCTTTTGGTTCTGACCCATTGCATTGATGATTATGTTATTTAGGGAAAGGTCTTTTGATTTTGGATAGACAGAAGTGGTTTCAGCACCGTCGCCTGCTTACCCCTGGCTTTCATTATGATGTGCTTAAACCATACACTAAACTAATGTCTGATTCTACGGTAGTCATGCTGGTAAGTGGTTGGCGTGGCAATAGATCTGTGTACAGCAAGTAAAAAAACCCATAAAAAATCTTAATATTAATTGAGTCAGACCTTTTCAATCCTACTGCCTTCTTTTTTTTTTAACATCTTTATAATTTAATGTGATCGATGTGAATGTCCTAAATTACACTTGGCATTATATATACATGCCCTTCCTACTTGGATTCCTGCCCAACTTCCCCGACAGCAGGGACATCAACTCTACCACTCAGTCAGATGTAACCATGTGGTTTTAATTCCCTGCTAGATAGAATGGGCATTCCTAACTTATCTGCCACACCACTTCGGGGCTGGACTGACACATCAGCAAGTTCATTACTCTGTATTCAGTTATGATTGACCATCTTTCAGGTGTAAATTCTGCTCACCCTGAATATCCATCTACTAATTAAAAGGCTGTTCCTTTGCAGTTCTGATAGGCGTTAATTTGTATTGTTGATATAAATCTTAATTTGCAGATTATCCATTTTCTCCATCGATTTGCATGAAATATGCCTCTGAAGAGGTTCTATAGAAAAAGCAAACAGTTTGCTTCCCAAAGCCTTACTTGCAGTATTACTTTTTATGTATAAGACGACAATTTTGCTGCCTGCAAGAGATGGACAGTATTAATTTATATAGTGATCTAGAACTTTTCTTCTTATTTTTCTAGGATATTTGGGACAAGCTAATCATGAAAACGAGCCGAGTAGAACTTTTTCAGCACGTCAGCTTGATGACACTGGACAGTATTTTGAAATGTGCTTTTAGCTACCATAGCAACTGCCAGAAAAACAGGTGGATATTTGGAGAGATAATTTGATTAGATGCTCTGGGGAATAAAATTACCTATTTAAGTTGAAATGGATGTATAATTTTAGAAATGAAACTGGCATCAGAGATGATGAATCCTTTAAGGAGGTATAACATTTTTTTTTAAAGAGTTATGAAATCTGTTGCTTCTGTAAACATCACGAAGTAGGTGAGATGTCACCTTCAAATTGGGTTCTCCTGTCTCTAAGGTATTCCTGGAAGTGCTTACTAGCAGAACTTTCTTAATACCTAAATCAGTTGGAACAAGTTATTTACAATTTATACAGAACTTTACTATTATAGAAGGGGGATATTTGACAACAAGTAATTGACAACAAAAACAGGAAATAAAGGGGGAGTCGAGCCAGCGCCCGATCGAGCAGGACGCGTTACTGTGCAGCTCCGTGAGCTAGCCCAGACTAACGAGGCTTTTTGCAGCCGATTACTTAGATACAAGGGTCCGGTGGGGCTCCCTGGACTCCTTAAACAATGGGGAATAAAAAATAAAAAACACCGGGCGGATCTGGGCTCTGGTTCCAGAGACATTGGTGCGTACATGCACCTGACCGCGCGGCCAGCACCTTCCAAGATGGTGCCGGCTGGGGCCTACTTCTCTGCTTCATCGGTTGATGACAGCCTCCAGGATCTGTCTCCTGTCCCATCCCAGGTACACTCTATATCCCAGGCACCTCTGGAGGAGGGTGATTCTGCCCCCTCTACTAAAGCAGACCTACAAGCGCTGAGGCAAGACATAAAAGCCATGTTCCAGGCAGATATGGCCCTAGTTCGGGAAGAAGTCACAACACTTTACTAGCAGAGTGGAAGCAGTGGAGGGAGACATGGGAGGCACCAAACTGGCACAATCTGCCACAGATGCTGCTCTTAGTTCACTACAAAAGAGATGTGACGACTTGACAGCACAACTGGCTAGCATGGAAGACAGGGCTAAAGCACGCAATGTGAGAATACGTGGTGTCCCCGACACATCTTAAATGATGAATTACCCCATTACTGCAGGAGGCTTATTGCCACACTCCTGCCGCCAAAACAGCTTGTGGTGGATACCTGCTTCCATTTCCCAAAGGCTGCCAAAACACCCAAAGACGCATCTATGGATGTATTGCTGAAGTTAGCAAAGGACTCTGACCGAGGGGCCCTCATGGGCGCAGTTAAAAGCTCTCCCACAATACCCTTCAAGGAAGCACACCTAGTCTTTTACGGAGATTTTTCTAGAGGTACCCTCACCTGACCAGTTAAGCAACTACTGAGAGAACAATCCATCCCATACAAGTGTGGCCTGCACTGATTGATGGCAGACAAGAACAACCAGACGCATCTCCTGACACACATTTCAGAGGCAACGACGTTCCTCCATTCCTTAGGTTAACCGTTCCTTAGGTCAACCGACAGGGACCGTGAAGAAGAATGGACAATCACCCTGGATGGTGGAGAGAATTACTCCCTTTGTGCCCAGACGGGCAGCACCGGAGGCAACTGACTCTCATACCTGACGCCAAGGGTGGCTGACATTACTGTTAAATGCATTATTGTTTACTTTTTCCTAATTATATGTTGGACTTTAAGTCTCCCTAGCATTCTGGCTCAGTAAGCATATGGCGTGTATACTACCCAGTTGTTAACCCGCCATAAGCCAGACTGAACAGAAGTCTGAGCCTCACCTCTGAGCCTTTACTACATACCCTCCTGGCCGGAACCGGTCACAGTTACAAGTAGCTTACATGCAGAAATCTAATGCATATAGGTGCCATATGCGCAACACACAGTCGGCACATTGCTTTGTCAAGCTGCAGGCACACAAAGCCTTGTGCCTGTCCCCTTGATTCACTTTTATAGCTATTGACTACTGACACGCAGGGTCTCACAGTTAAAGGGACACTCCAGGTATCCAGACCACTTCTGCTCATTGGAGTGGTCTGGGTGCCAACTCCCACGCTGCTAGAGCATCGCTGGACGTCCTCACGCTGAGTGAGGACCTCCAGCGTCCCTCATTTCCCCAAAGGAAAGCATTGAAATGCATTTTCAATGCTTTCCTATGGCGAGCACTAATGCGCATGCGCGGCATTGCCATGCATGCACATTAGGTCTCCCCAGCCAGTGGGCGGGATCAGTCTCGGCCACAGGCCGACGCAGTCACTAGGAGGAGCGGAGGGAGAAGCAGCGATGTGGGACATGTCACTGCCTCTGATAAGTTACTGAAGGGGTTTTCACCCCTTCAGCAACCGGGGATTGGGGGGTGGGAGGGAGAGGGGACCTGCAGTGCCAGGATTTGTTTTCCTGGCACTGGAGTTTCCCTTTAACATATGTAAAATAAAAAACAGGTCATTACTATACTTGTGGAGTGATTGTTGTACCACTCATGTAAGCATTGATATCTTCGCCTTACAGTTGTGATATGCTCAGATGTTAAGCTGACCACAAAAATAAAGAATTAAAAAACACCAGGAAATTAAAAGGGTTCTGCTCAAACAAACTTATAGTCTATGAGGAAGTCTTCCCCCTTTAACCAGACTGTCTGCTTTGTCAATGTCTGTCTTCTGTTCTGCAGGGACAATGTGTACGTCAAAGCAGTGTATGATATCGCCGCCATAGTGGACTTCAGAATTCGATTCTTTCCATATTACAGCAATCTCATCTTCCATCTGAGCCCCCACGGATATCGATTTCGGAAAGCCTGTGCTATAACACATCGCCACACAGGTATTAACAATCCATCAGTGATCCCAACAAACAGGGGACTAGATATTTTAATAGACATGGCCGTTTTATTGGGTTTACTTTAATGTGACAATTGGCTAGCAGTCACTGGCCAGTTGCCACATTTATAACCCTTGTGCTGCTGAGTATCTTTTAACTATTTGCCTGCTGGGTCCTAGCACTGCCAGCAGGCGAATAGTTCTTCAAATGATCAATTTACTTGCAAAATGCAAGTGACTCATTTGCAAACCTGCATCTTGCCGGATGCATTCGGTGTATTCTCGACTGCCATGCTGTCATTGATAAATCTCAGATTCTTGTCTGGATGTAGATATTGGTGATTTTCCAAATTAATTTTACAGAATCACTTGGACTCGGCACATTTGGGTTTAGTAAATTTGTGACTTTCCAATGCGGTCAGAAGGCGGATTTTGTCCACTTTGACAAAATCTGGTATTTAGTGAATAACACTCAGTGTCTCTCTTGGTGTGAGGTGACTTGTAGTTCTAGAGACACCCATGCAATAGTGAAGGAAGTATTATTTTTATTATTCTTACTACCCATTGTCAAATGCCAAGCCTCAACCTGAGAGCGATTGTGTAACGGTTTTAGCTATGTCTGTTCAGTCTCAATTTTTCTCTTTCATATCAAGTGGACACATACTTATTATATATAATCTTGTTCAGGAGAAATAGGGCTTTAATCATGTAGTTGGAGTACAATTTAAAATGAAGTGTGAAAAATTAAGAACTGACAACTTCCAACTTCTGCATGTCCTTTAAATGGTGCCATAATGCTAGTTGGCTTTTACTGCAATAAAACACACATTGGTATGCTGTGATGTCCCATGAGTACAATGCCTCCCATGTACAGGTTTTATGGGGTTTTAGAAAGTTACAGGGTGAAATAAAGAGATTTTTTACAAATAGAAATGTACCAGATTAATTTGCTGGGCCATTATTGCATTTTAGACCACGTAGCAGCCCCGGAATGAAAATTCTCCCTATCATGGCATACCATTTGTAAGAGTACAACCCATGGTATTCAAAATGGTTTATTTCCAGTCTTGGGCCACAAACCCTGACCCAAGTTAGCATTCATATTTGTTTTTCCCGCAAAAACGGCACTTTCACTGATATCATTGTCATTATACATTTAATTGTTTTAAAACATTCATTCTGCGTGGCATTTTAACTGTGCATGTAATAATATTGTTAGCTTTTACTGCACTAAAACACACAGGGTTTTAATATCTTGCGAGTGCAACAGTACCCCTCCATGTGCAGTTTTTATGGCACTTTGGGAAAAGTACAAATTAATAAAATATATATAAATACTTAGAATGAAACTTTTTTTTTTATACATTCCTTTGAAGTGTGTATTTTAACATAATTGAGGGATTTTATTAATTATATGTTAGGGGATCTGACTGACAACACAGGCTGATCAGAGTTACGTGACTGTGGTGTCATAGCTGCAGGGGGACTGCCTTGATTGTCAGGCAATTGCCTGATTGGGTCACTGCAAGGTAAGTATAATTCAGGGGGGTTTACCCGCCACCGACTTTATATTATATTATTACAGCCTTATGTCAGTAAAACCTACGCCGTTCAGGACATAATGACACGTCCTAGCGTAGGCATCGGGTTAAGTAACTACAACTACTTTTTGCCAGAGGGAGGGGAGTAAAAGGGGTGGGCCAGTGATGTGGTAGTGTCAAGACTCCTCCCCTAAGGAGCGCATCCGCTTAGTAAGGGGGTGTGTCAGTCCAAGATAATGACAGAACAGCTTGATGTGATTGCACACCAGGCTGCCTGTCAATCATGCAGCCCAGCCAACTGAGGACAGGACATGCAGGGAGCACTGTTTCAGGGTCCCAGTGCTCGAATCCTTGCTTGAATGCATCTATGGATGCGCTCGTGGTATGATTGTTGGGGACCATTCCCTGATGTCACCAAAAGCGGGACATCAGGGAACTATGGCAGAATGACCTGAATATCGGTACTGTCATAGTCAAGACGATTGGGAGGCAGACCTATGGAATAAATAATGAGTGCAATAAACAAACATGAATTCAATGTGCACAGATACACAATATAAACCAATATGGGGGAAAAAAAACAAATCCATAATCGTTGCATGAGGTTTGTAGGCCAGGCCCGAACATAAACACTCAGGTTAGGCTTTTGACTGGCTAAGCATTGTGACATATAAAGTCCATGAACGGGTAACATTAGCTCTCCAGGTGCTTATGGACTGTATTCCCCATGATGTTCTTTCAACCAAAAGCCTTTCTAGAAACTCATGTCCCTTTCTCCATTCATCTACTTCCTGCCCCCCCACCAATAGGCACATAGTAGGACCCTTATTGTTCGGCCGAGCACCTTACAGGGTTATTGTGGCCATAACCATTACTTTGCATAGCAAGTATATTTCATGCAAAATCAGAATTCCATGAAAAAGCTCACAGCTTAGTGCTCACTTCTAAGAAAGACCGAGTGAAAGGGGCGATGGTGAATTACAGTCCAGCAAAGTCATGTCTTAACTTTACGAACTTTGACTGTTTTGAAGCCAGGTTAATAAATTAATATTTTACATGATAACTAACCCAACCTTTCATTTTATAACTCAGATAAGGTGATCCAAGAACGGAAAAAATCCATAAAAAATGAAAAAGACATGGAAAAAATAAAGGAGAAAAGACATTTGGATTTTTTGGATATTCTCTTGTTTGCCACGGTCTGTGATCACATTATGATACTGTTTGTGTTTTGTTTTTTTTTGGTTTTTTTAAATAAACCTTTGCATCATGTGGGGTTTAGTAACAATGTTTCAAATTAACAAGGGAGTCAGAAATTGGCAAGCTGGACAAAGTAATGTGGTTGTTTTTTTCCTATTTGAGATTCAAATTTTGTACTTCATGTTTCAGACCTCTATCAGTCATAGTCCAAATAAATGAACACTAAACTGTTAGGAAAACAAATCCTGTGTTCCTAATGCTTTAGTGTCATGGGTCCTAGTAAAATGCAAGTTCTCCTCCCTCCATTTGTGTTAACAATGATTTTAGTTACCGAGGCTACCTTGGCACTGCTTTGCTCTCCACATTGGCCCAATCCAATGCTCCTCTTAGAGAAGCTTTGGGGGATAAATGCACATGTGCGGTGAGTGCACATACAACCTTTCACATAGGCCAACATTGAATAAATGCTCTTCATGATGGTATCTACATCACATGAGCAGTATTTACTTAGTGCTGCAGATGCCGCTCTAGCGGCTGTTCGTATGACAGCCACAAGAGGTGGATTTAACCCTCAATGGAAATATTTCCTTTAAAAAAAATAAAATAAAAAGTAAAATCCACTGTTTTACATTGCATGAATAAAAATAAAGGACCACTGCACCCACATTTCATTGCAATGAAGTGGCATGGGCGACTTTAGAAGTCCTTTTTAAAATCTCATAAATGTTGATTTGAAAAATTCTTATGAAATCTGCTCTAACTTGATGATGTAGCTTCCATCATTAATTTTAATATTTTATTCCATGTAGCCATGAATTGTAGAATTTATTTTCTACTCTGGCGTTTTCAATACTACTATCCTGATTTGTTGACGAGTTACTCCAATCACCCTGACCGCTTCAGTGTTTGGTTTTTTTTGTGTGTAATCATGATACCTGAAGTCTGTATGTGCGGCTTAAACCCTTTGGTGATGGACATGTAAGGTTTTTCTAGAATTTGGCAATTTTCTTTTCTGGTTATCCACAATCACTGGGTTTACATTACTGTTTGTTAAACCCCTATGTGTTTCTTTATGTAACTGCTTTAATACTTGGAAATGAGAAATGTCATTATAAATAAACCTTGATGTTATGAAGGTTAAATACTTTCTAGGATGAGAATGGTAAAGGTTTATCCAATGAAGACCTGCAAGCTGAAGTGGACACCTTTATGTTTGAAGGACACGATACAACAGCCAGCGGAATATCCTGGATCCTGTATTGTATGGCCAAATACCCTGAGCATCAAGAAAAATGCTGGGAGGAGATCAGAGAGGTCTTAGGAGATCGACAATCCGTGGAGTGGTGAGATTTACTACTTTTACTACTACTTACTTACTAAAATATATAATATACTTTCTTAGTCTTCTGGATTCAAACTGCGATTTGTGGTGGTTGACATTTCATCCAAAATCCCAAAATTCTTTTATTTGTTTGTTTGGGATGCACTCACTAAACTGTTATTTTAAGAAGTGTCCATAGTATCATGTTCTCTGGGGACAACACCATGTTTTTTCAGAAAGTTCTAAAACTAAATGTTAGGATATTAGATGGTTAGTGAATCAGAAATTCTGAAAAAGCTAACTGCATATTTCTTATATGTAGCATGGTGTACCATGGGAACAGAAGTGACTTATTTACTAAAGTGAGTCTTAATAGTGGTTTTCCAATTTAAGGTCATAAGAGACAAACTGTAAAAAAATATAAAAAAAATTCTCAAGCTTGATAAACATTTATACATGTCGACATTGTTTAGCTGAACAATGTCTACATCATTAACTTATTTGCCGACTGATTCTTTCGATCTTTTTCCAATATAATAGCCATGCAAAACACTGGTTATAAAAAGTTTAAATTAAATGTTCCTTCTCCATAATTCCAACTATCACTCGTAAATTGTCCCATAAAAGTTCCCCTAATATAATTAAGAATGGACACTGAAGGTTCTCTTAAAATTCCAGATTCTAAAAGTTGATGGTTTGTCAAGGGCAGCTTGTTTTTACATGTAAAATGTTTGGTGCACGGTGAGACGTGTATGTAGTAATGTTGTGTAGCCGATATTAATATTTTACCAGTACCTATATCCCTATTTGTTTTTCAGGGAGGATTTGGGTAAAATCCCCTACACCACAATGTGCATTAAGGAGTGCCTTCGTTTGTACCCCCCAGTGCCTGGAGTATCCCGCTTTTTAAGAAAGGAGGTCAAATTCTTTGATGGACGTTCTGTCCCAGCAGGTAACTGTGAGCTTTGCCATAAGCTTCCAGGTGGCTATGAAGCTTTAAGGATTCTCATTCCAAGCAGCTCTTCCAGTCTGAGCAATATTCAGAGGTCAAAATAGGGGGTAAACTGCCTTTCTCACATAGTGTATATCTTTATGTTCATATATAATTATTTTTTTCTCATTCTAAGCATTGGATATAACAGTTTTGTTTTATGTATGCTCTATACTAATGATGTAGTTTCTTAACAGAGACATTGGTTGCAATGAATATTTATTCCATCCACCGAAATCCTAGTGTCTGGGAGAATCCAGAGGTGAGAAAACATAATCCTTGTTCATCCCATCTTTAAAAAAAAAATAAAAAAAAAATCTAATTCTGACCTCAGAACGAGTTTTGGGTGCTGGGGAGTCCCTCTGTTTTTGCAAAACATCTGAATATTGTTTGACACGAAAGAAAGTAATTGCCCCATAGCTTCCATGGACCAAAACTACATACATATATGAAATTGGTGTGATGTTTTGTATGTGGATTTATGCAATGCTGCCAAAGAGGCTTTTGTATAATTTTTTTACTTTATTTTTTATGCATTATCTATATAATACACTGCGCATGTAGGGTTAAATTTAAGTAGACTTACGGGTCCATAAAAAATGTAGTAAGTGTGCGTCTATCACAATGAAATTTCAGTAAAGTGTGAAGTGAGTCAGTTAACATTCCTGTTAGTAACATTTTGTGATATGTTATCTTTCAGGTTTTTGACCCGTTGAGGTTTTCTCCAGAGAATTCTGCCAACAGACACTCGCACGCTTTTGTACCCTTTGCCGCAGGACCCAGGTATAAAATTCCTCTGTTTTAATACAGCTTATATGTTGCCATTTTCATTTAAGATTTTCATGCAAACTATTTTTATTTTGTATTTTTATATTTTAAGATCTTTAGCATTTTTAATCCATTGTGAAGCTAGTGTAGAATGGGTAGCTCTGTGTCAGGTATTTAACTAAAGATTTTCTGACCTCTAGAAAGGTCTAACTTGTTATATTCCTTCAAAAAACTCTCTGAAAATGGCCCAAGATCACAACTCCATTTATCTGGATGGCTAATGGTGTCTGATTCCACTGGAAGTTACAAAGTAACTTTTAATCAAAAGGGAAATACTTTGCGCCATAACCCATGCTGGTCATTGAAACTTACCATGTAAACTTTACTGAAATATATAAATCTGATAAATAACCTGCAAAACGTGAACTTTTTTCTCTAGAAAGAGCTAGATATATAGTCACAATTTATTTCTTCAAAAGAATAACAAGCTAACCAAATTCATGCAAATGTGTGCAAAAAATCCTAAACTTAGATCTAGGAAGACCATTTGCCCTACCGAAGGTTATGTCTAGCCACACCTATCACTCTTGTGTGGATGACCGTGATCTGCTGGGGGTGAGTTAGCTAAACATAAGATCTTCATAGATGTTTTTACATCTGTGCTTTATGGAATCATTCAAGAAAGCCACTAGTTCTATAGAATGGAATGAAAAAAATTGGTGCTATTGTAGGAATATACACGATTCTGAAACTGTAGAAAAATAGGAAAGAATTTACATATTTTACTCTAAAATAACAATAAAAAAAATAACTGTCATGGTTGGCTGCCACTAGAGGATACTCAGCAAGGTGAGAGGCAGCGACCTAACAAAGGCAAATTCACAGGGATAGGAAGAGGTGCATTACCAGACCTTAGCGTGACCGGGCTAACTTAATGGTAGAACTATGACGGAACAAGACTAGACTAACGATACAGACCAGGAAAGGAACAAAACACACAGAAACAGATAACCGAAACACAGAGGACAAGCCGAAGTTGAGACAGGCAAGGGTCAGGAACACAGAGAAAGTAATATCCGTAATATGCCAAGGACTGGTACATGGGTTGGGTAGTCAAGCAAGCCAGAGACTGGAACATGAATCCGACAGGAAGGCATACAAGTCAGGTCCAAGTACCCAAGGGCAGGAGAGCAGAAATGTAGTCCGGCAAGCCGGATCAAAATAACTGAGAATCAAACATTAGATCAAAATCTTGCGAAGGACACGAACCATAGGTTGACCATGACTAACTTCCTTTATTGCAAGTTCTGTTTAATTTAGATTTTCTTATCACCTGCTATGTTAATAGCTTGCTAGACCCTGCAAGAGTCTCTTGTAGGTGATTAACAATTTTATCTCTTGCTCTGTAAATTGAACTTTAAAGGTAAATTACATCTGAAAGTGATCTGGGAGGGAGGGTCTGCTGCTGATTGTCTGGAATGTGTCTGCTGACTGTGAGGTACAGGGTCAAAGTTTACTCAATGATGATGAATAGGGGGCGGACCGAACAGCACATATGTTCGCCATCCGTGGCGAACCGTTTGGCGAACCGTTCGGGACATCACTAATATATTATATATAATTTTATTTCATTTTTTTTCAGGAATTGCATTGGCCAGAATTTTGCCATGAATGAGTTGAAGGTAGCTGTGGTTCTAACACTGCAGAGATTCCAGCTGGAACCCGATCTGGCGAATCCACCCATTAAGATACCACAAGTCATCCTTAAATCAAAGAATGGAATCCACGTACATCTTAGAAAACGGCAGTGCTGAGATCTGACGCCTACCTACCATAACTGACTAAGCGACTCAGGACCTTTTCTAACTTTAATTTGATGAATGCTGTTTTTTTAAGATGCTACATTAATGACTTTACAATGATAATTAGAGACATTCAAATTATGAATTGACCTGTCCAGTATGATCGGTTACCACCGCTTTAGTTTCTCTTCCTCTGACCAAACCCATATCTTCTAGTTTTCAATTTCACTGTAACTGTGATTTTCACATCCAAGCCTTTTCATAAAAGGGGTTACACTGCAGTTTTATTCTTGTCTTTAAAGCTGAAAGTAACTTGTTTTATGCATTATTTTACTTAAAAACCTTTTCATTGGGACAAAACTGTTTTTCTGTATGGTAATTTTGTTTTCTTCCCTCTGCTCGCTCGCTTTTTTTTTTTGCTTTTTTTTTAAATTTTGTTTACATGTTTGGGGGGTGGGGGACTGTCTCCATAGCGACAAATATTACATAGAAAAGACCTGTCCCCCCAATAATTTCAATTGCAGAGTGAAGAGTACAGGGGCCATGTACACAGACCACTTTAATTAGATGAAGTGGTCTGGGTGCTTTTTGTGTCATTTTAATGGATTTGCCTGCAGATATTGACCCAGAGAAGAAATAACATGATAATCACCTTGGACATCTACATACTGTCAGGGATTTATTTGCTGCGAGGCAGCACTTTCCAGGGGGAGGCCAAAAACACCGCCCCCAAATGCACAGGCAAATACCTTGTTAGCCTGGCGGCGGCTAACTAAGGATCCATACGGGCGGGTGGCACTGGCGAGGGAGCACTGATTAGTGAGTGACGTCATATTCCGTCTCCTGGCATCACTCTGTGGTGCGCGAGGGAGCTGAGCACAGACAGCTCACTAATCAGTGCTCCCTCACCAGTGCCGCCCGCCCACATGGTTTTCTTAGTTAGCCACCCGCATGGATCCTTAATTAGCCGCACAACCGCCTGCATGCATCTTTGCAAGAAGACTGGACCCCAGGTAAAAAAAAAAAAATTCACCCAGCACTCCCAAAGGTAGGGAGGCTGGGCGGATTTAAACTGAAATAGTAATTGGTTAATGTTTGGGGGGAGGTGGAGGGCATTGTCAGTGTGTATGTCTGAGTGATTGGGTGTGTGTATGTCTGTCACTGTATGGCTGTCTGTCAGTGAGTGTGTGTGTTTCTGTCAGTGAATGTGTTTGTTTCTGCGTGATTGTGTGTGTGTCTGTGTCATTGTGTGTGTCAGTGATTGTGTCAAATCAGTGTGTGTTTCTGTCAGTGAATGTGTTTGTTTCTGCGTGATTGTGTGTGTGTGTCTGTGTCAGTGATTGACTGACAGAAACACACTGATTTGACACAAAGTGTGTGTGTTAGTTGTTTAACAGGAAGAGGTGTGGCATTGACAGGAAGGGGTGGGGCAAATGTAAATTAGGGGGTGCCCGACTTCCGTCATGCCTAGAGCAGCACAGATGCTAAATACATCACTGCATACAGTACTGTCTGACCTACACTTGTTTCATGTTCTATGACACCTACAGGATTGTTTGCTTTTGTTTCTGTAACTCCAGAGAGCATGAATGATTTGTTATGTGATATTATTTAACCCTCTCCGCCAAGTCCACTTTTTGAGCAGTTAGCTATTCTTTATTACAAGATGCATTCATATCCCTATTCCTAATACCCCTCTTTTCTAGGAGCTTGGTGTCTTAATTTATACCAAAGAGTCACAGCAATAATACTCACAATAATGTCTTTACTACCATAAATATGTCTGAACCCAGTCTGTGTCAATAAGATACGTTATTCCTAATGTAAGTAACATTTCAGCAGCTTTTTTGGGTCTCAAAAATTTCTCAGAACAGATCTGCCCTAATTATGTACTCACATCCCTAAAATTAAAACTTCCTTATTTTATCATTTGAGATGTTGGGAGCAGTGATGCATTGACGTTTGAGACTGGGTTACATTTATAGATTATCCAAATACATATAATAAATTATGGTTCCTGAAAGAAAAACTCCCCGGCAATTTTACTAATTTGCAATATTTGCAGCGGCATTTTATGATCAGCGTGTATTAAAACATTCAGCATAAAATACTCAGGAATAAGTACTTTTCTGTGCCAGATTATCATGAATACTCACCAATTAGTGGGGCCCCACGACACAAGCTCAACTGGGATTCTAACTAGCCAATCTCCATGGGGATGTGACTTACAGAGTCCAAATCATAAATCTTACACTGTACTACATTACATTGTACATCAAGTGAATTAATGTGGGGGGAAAAATACACTTACTACATTTGTTTGTTTTTAAACAAGTACATGCACTAAATTGCAAAAAGTGCTTTGGAAAAAGCATCAATAAAACTGTAAATTCTAGAAGTGGGCAAATAATTAGTAATTATGGAAAACAGCAGAAACATTTCCACAATGAATTCTCGTCTACATATATAGCGGACCGCGGGTAACCCGACCGACTACCTCCACTATTTCCCTGCCTTCAGCCATTCAGGAACCCTTACAACAATCAGGCATCTATTTTCCCCCCAGTAACTGGACGAAACACAGTCCTGGCGGTTACAACACTGACTGACTCTGTTTAATTTGTCACACATGGTTTCATGCACAGACCCCTACATGGGGTCTCTAACACAATACAACAGGAGTTTCAATCCCAAGAAGCTGATGGGGGGATGGAAAAGGGAAAAGTAGCCAGTTCAAACTGGGCTGGCAGTGTCCCTGTGACATCCTGCTGTGACAGGGAGTGGGGAAGGAGGGCGAGGTCCAGGCAGACACTACATTCCCAAAAGGAGGGGGCAAGGGGCCCACAGCTGCATGTACAGACACAATACATGAAACACATAATACAAGGGGAAAATCACGAACAGGCAGGGCTCTGTCACACAGCTCCCCCTCAACCACTAGCAAGTATACACGGCCAGATCTCTAACGGATCAGCTTGTGGATGTCCGAGGAATGGCTCACAGATCACGTCTCCAGTTATGCCTGTCTTGACAACCCATCAGCATTCCCATTTTGCCCACTGGGTCAGTAGTGTATAGGGAAGTCATAGGTCTGAAGTGCCAGGCTCCATCGCAGCAGCTTTGCATTGTCTCCCGCGACCTGGTTAAGCCACACCAACAGATTGTGATATATAGGGTTGCAGCTTCTTGAGTGCCCACACCACCGCCAGACACTCCTTATCGATGGCAGCATAGCTTACCTGCCTGGGTAGTAGCTTCCTGCTGAAGTAAGCTATTGGTTGTTCTCCGCCATGGTCCCTGACTTGGCTGAGCACCGCTCCTAATCCAAACATAGAAGCATCTATGTGGATGAGAAAATGTTTGCGGGGATGAGGAGCAGCCAGGACAGGGGCATTTACCAGGGCAAACTTAAGGGCTTGGAACACCTGCTCACACTCCGGGGCCCAGTTTACCTGTCTGGGTAGGTTCTTTTGGGTCAGATCAGTTAAGGGCTTGGCTATGGCACTGTAATTGGGGACACATTTTCTATAGTATCCAGCTGTTGCTAGGAAGGCCAGAACCTGGGTCTTAGTAAAAGGGACAGGGCCAGTTCGCTACTGTCTCAACCTTGGCTGGCTCGGGCTTCTGCTTCTCAGTGGCCCAGGTACTGTACCTCGGTCATCCATATGTTGCACTTACTGGACTTTAGGGTTAACCTTGCCTCCCTAATCCGATCTAGTACCGCTCCTACATGTGTCAGATGCTCCTCCCAAATGTTGCGGTATATGGTGATGTCATCCAGGTATGCACAGGCGTAATCCTGGAGGCCATGCAACAGCTGGTCCACCATCCTTTGAAAAGTGTACGGGCGTTCTTCATCCCGAATCGCATTACCTTAAATTGGTACAGGCCAAAGGGGGTGACGAAGGCAGACTTAGGGACAGCATCTACCGCTAGGGGAACCTGCCAGTACCCCTTGCATAAGTCTATCGTGGTGAGGTACTGGCCATGAGCCATCCTGTCTAGGAGCTTGTCGATGCGGGGCATGGGGTAGGCGTTGGAGACAGTCTTGTTGTTGAGATCCTGGAGTTCACACGGAACCAGGTGGTTCCGTCCCATTTCGGGACCAGGATTACTTGGGAGGCCCAAGAGCTTTGGGATGGTTCAATCACCCCCAGTTGGAACATCTTCTGGATCTCCTGCTTCATGTTTTCCCGGACCACCTCGGGTATCCGATACGGGCTCTGCCTCAGAGGTAGCTGCCTCGCTTACCTGCGCTCCTGCAAAGTCAGGGTACCAAGTCACGTAATCTACGATGGTCAGAATGTATTTCTTCCTAGAGGGACTAGGCTTAGCCACAGGACCTATGATATTGACAACTACTCTGCCGAAGGGGTCTTCAATGATGGGTAAGGGTTGGAGCGTGGCCTTGTGCCAGCTGAGCTGCTTCCCCACCTTCTGGCAGACAACACAGGACCGACAGTACCGCTTCATGTCCTGGGAGATGCCTGGCCAGATGAGGCTTAGGGCGAGTCGGGCGTGTGTCCAGTCCTGTCCCAAATGTACTGCCGGGGGAGGATATCGTGAGCTATCTTCAGAAGCTTCTTTTGATGCTTCCTGGGTACCACCAACTGTTTGGTGGTGGTAGAAGTGGTCCCTGATTTTCCTTTCTCTACCAGTAAACCCTTTTCCTACATGAACCACACATTATCCAACCCAGCTCGACTAGTGGCCACCTGATTTCTGCAGGACTTCAGGGAAAGGTCGGACACTACTTTCCTCCCAAACTCAGCAGGGGATTCCTAGGGTAAGGGTGTCGGGGTAGGAGAAGGGTCACGGATAATAGGGTGAGGGGATCTGGCACGGGGTTGTGTACTCCTGGGACGGTTATGGGAAATTGGAACATGGGGATGGTTGCGTGTGCCTACCTGAGCCTCTGAGTGTGAGCTGCTCTGGGTACTGCGTTCTTGCTGCCGGGTTGTCACTGGATGGGCCACCTCAGGTTCGTTGGTGGGACGAAGGTAGCATGAGCTGGCCCAGGTCAATGCCCAGCAAAACATCAGCGGGCAGGTTGTTCATGAGCCCAACCTCCACTATTTTGTTCCCGGCACCCCAATCGAGATGGACCCAGGCTTTGGGCATGTAGTGAACTCTTCCCCCTACTACTCAGACAGCAATGGATCCTCCGGTCTGATCTTTCTCTGTGATGAGCTGGTGCTGCACAAGGGTCCACATGGCTCTGGAATCTCGCAGACCCTGCATCTGGCATCCATTCAACTGGACCGGCTGTCTGTGAAGGTCCTGATTATCTGTGGCAGCCTGTATGGGGTCTGCCTCATGCAGGGTGCTCCAGGCTTCCTTGTTTGTGTTGGGGCCATAGGTGGGGTCTGCCTGATAATAGTGGACAGCGGCTCGGGGTGCTCGAGGGGCCCCTTGACGGATCCACGCAGATCGGTCCCTTATCTGGGGTTAATCTCTCTTGTAATGGTCCCACTGGTGACACGGACCTGCTGCCTGGCTTGGGGACCTCGGGGTTGGTGCGGGAGCCAGAGAGCTTCGGGGTGGGGTGGCTGCAGGGGAGATGAACTGGGGTGTCAGGCATACGGGGGGGTCGGTGGATTGGGGTGGTCACCGGATGCTGGGGTCACCTGGTATCTGCATACTCATCTGCTTTTTGGGCTGCTTCCATTAGGGTTTTAGGCTGTTGGTCTCTTATAATTTGTATAAGAGATTGAGTTGGTTTGACTATTTCAAGTTCACAAACAGAATATGGATATATTGTTCGTCAGTCGAACCAACTACCGAACAGGGAGACCACCCAGAGGAGTCTCCAATTGAGTACTTTAACACCTTAAAACCACAAGGTTCTAAATGGTCGGATGGGTGGCCGCCATTTGTATGACCAAACACACGGCGGCGGCCTTCTTTGCGCACGAACGCCCAGCGGTGTTTGGTCGTCGAGTGCGTGGAACTATAATCAGACACTTGACCTCGCGAACGCTGCTGAACTTCCATCATGTTGGTTTCTGCGCTTTATTTCAGATAGAAAAGCAGCATTCTACTGAATGGAACAAACAACCATCAGGTACACAGCTACCCAGTTTATAAACACTTACATTCGTTAGTTTAATCATGAGAACTCCCAAAAGAAGACTGGTCAAAGCATTCAACCGCATGGAACTGTTTTGGGGCTTCACCTCGTGGCTGATTGGTCTAAACTTCACTTGAATGGTGTTCCTGTTATACCGAACGGATCTGATTGGTATTTCGACAGATTGGTCGCTCAGATCCCTGCTATTTGATGAAATATATTTCGTGGAGTTCTGATTAATATTATGGGAGTTATTTTTTCTGTACTAGGTAGATAATCTAATTAAGGAATTGTCCTTACACAATTATCTTCCAAGAACAGAAAAGGATCATGGAAAATGTGTCTTTGTTCCCTGTCCTCCACAAGGTCCACCAGGGGAAAACCCCTGGAATATAATTGAAGAAACCCCTTGCCTGGGGAATTGCATAAAAGCCAGCTGTGGCTCAATAAATAACAGTTGACTCCCAAAGCCATGTATCATCCAGTTGTTGAGGAATGGGATTGGAATTGTCACGCTACGCTTTATTTGAATGCTGATTACATCGACCAGCGGAGATATTGCAGTTAATACTTCCGCTATGCTACAATTGGTGTGTCCGCTTATAGTTCCACGCACTCGACGACCAAACACCGCTGGGCGTTTGGGCGCAAAGATGGCCGAACACGTAGCGGCGGCCACCTGTCCGACCATTTAGCACCGTCGGTAGTTGGTTCGACTGACGAACAATATGTCCATATTCTGTTTGTGAACTTGAAATAGTCGATCTAACTCAGCCTCTTATACAAATAAGTGGCTAGTTTTGCCATAGGACCCCTTTTTCAGTTCTTGGAACTTTCGGCAGTATGCATCTGGGGTGATGGCATACCTCGTCAACAGTACCTGTTTCACAGCGGCATAGTTCCACAGGTCCTCCTCGGGCACAGCCCAGTAAGCATTTCCAGGTTTCCCTGTGAGGTTCCTGCCGGCCAGGAGGGGAACTCGGTCTGCTGGGGCAATCTCATGTAACAGATAGAGGCGCTCAAAGTCCTGCTCGAAGTCATCTATGCCTTCTTCCACCTCTGAAAACTTTTTGAAGGCTTGGTAGGGTAGTTTGGGCTTGGGTACTGGGGTGGCTGGACCCCCCGGGACTTCCCCAGCTTGCTGATCTGCACTAGATGCGGGCTTCGCCCATGCCCTCTGCGCCATGACAAAGATCTGGGTCATCATTTCCGCAGAGGGCCTCCCACCATAGTATGCCAAGCGACAATCCATTTCCTTGTCCAGTGCACCTTTCTCACCCTCGGTTGCTGTGCAGCAGCCGTGCCGCATATTCAGTCATCCTCCAGTGACCAGGTCTACTTTGGGTCAGAGGCCGGTTGATTCCCCTCTAGCCTTCAGCAATTCCTGCAACGTTTGTCACTTTAACGTGGAGTAATTTATCAGTCTGTTCTGTTCACGAACACTGGTTCCACACTGCTGGGAAGGACCATCCTGCCGCTGCCACCAAATGTAGCAGATCACAGGTAACCCGACCAGTTACTTTTGCTATTTCTCTTTCTTTAGCCATTCAGGAACCCTTACAAAAAGCAAGCATCCCTTTCCCCCCCAGTAATTGGACAAAACACAGTCCTGGAGGTTACAGCACTGACTGGACTTTATTTTGTCACAGACCCCCTACATGGGGTCTCTAACACAATACACCAGGGGTTTCAATCCCAAGAAGCTGATGGGGGGATTTAAGATGGACAAAGCAGCCAGTTCAAACTGGGCTGGCAGTGTCCATGCGACCACATCCTGCTGTAACAGGAAAAGGGAGGGGAAGAAGGGGGGAGAGGTCAAGGTAGACACTACATTCCCAAAATGAGGGGGGCTACAGCTGCATATACAGGCACAATGCAGGAAACACATAATACAAGGGAAAAACGAACAGCCGGGGTTCTATCACAATATATATTTGTGTTCGGGGTGAAACTCGAGATTAGTATTTGCAAGTAAAGGGATGTAACCTAACTCATGCTATAGGAAAAGTCAGTTGTGGTTTGCCGGAACCGACGATGCGGTAAGCCTGAAAATAAAAGCGGGCAAAAAGGAAATGCAAAGCCAATATATTTATGTATTATTATTATTATTATTATTGCCACGGGGTATAAGACACGTTAGGACAGGAAATATCAATCAAATAGGGTGGGAGTGAAGCAAAGCTGGAGGAGAGGGTAGAGAGAGCAAGAGGCAGTTATGTAAGGTAGAGGTTACTCTGGGAGGCCATAAGCTTTCTTGAAGAGATGGCTTTTAAGGCTCTTCTTAAATGATTGAAGACTAGAGGAGAGTCTGATGGCGGTAGGCAGGCTATTCCATAGGAAAGGAGCCACCAGCGAGAGGTACTGCAAGTATAAGGAGGAGGAAAGACAAGGAGTTCAGTTTTAGAGAGGTTGAGTTTCAGAAAGCGTGAGGACATCCAGTCAGAGATGGAAGAAAGGCAAGCAGTGACACGTTGCAGGACGGCAGGGGAGAGGTCTGGGGAGGAGAGGTATACCTGGGTGTCATCAGCGTACAGGTGGTAGTTGAATCCAAAAGAGGCAATAAGCTTGTCAAGAGAGGCAGTATAAAGAGAAAATAGAAGGGGACCAAGGACAGAGCCTTGGGGAACTCCAACCGAGACAGGGCTAGGGGAGGAGGTATGCTTGGAAAAGGAGACACTGAATGAGCATTGGGAGAGATAGGAGGAAAACCAAGAGAGGACAGAGTCACACAGACCGAGCGATTGAAGAGTTTGAAGGAGGAGAGCATGATCAACGGTGTCAAAGGCAGCAGAGAGGTCAAGGAGAATTAATATGGAGTAGTGACCTTTGGATTTAGCTGCGATTAGGTCATTAGTGACTTTGATGAGAGCAGTCTCAGTAGAGTGGAGAGGGCGGAAGCCAGACTGAAGAGATTCAAGGAGAGAGTTGGAATTGAGGAAGTGAGACACACGGGTAAAGACAAGTCTTTCCAAAAGCTTTGATGAGAAAGGGAGCAGGGATATTGGACGATAGGTAGAGGGGAAGGATGGGTCAAGAGATGTTTTTTTCAGGATAGGTACTACAGTGGCATATTTAAGGTCAGCTGGAACAGTGCCAGAAGAGAGAGAGCAGTTAATGATGTGTGTTAGGGTAGGCACAAGACAAGGGGAGAGAGATCTGATGAGGTGGGACGGGACAGGATCGAGCAGGCAAGTGGTGGGGCGAGAGGAAAGGAGAAGCGCAGCCACCTCTTGTTCAGTTGCCAGGGAGAAAGTCTGAAGGGTAGGGAAGGCATGATTTATGTGTGGTTGAGAAAGAGAGTGGCAAGGAGGGGAGAATTGTTTCCATAGCTGTTCAATCTTGTCGATAAAGTAGCATGCAAAGCTATCAGCTGTAAGGTTAGTTTGAGGGGTGGCTGCAGCAGGGCGCAGAAGTGAGTTAAAGGTGTCAAAGAGACGTCTGGGATTGCGGGAGCATGAACTAATGAGAGAGGAAAAGTATGACTGTTTGGCGAGGGCAAGGGCTGTGCTGTATGAACGCAACATGAATCTATAATGGAGAAAGTCTGCCTGGGTGCGGGACTTCCTCCAGGAGCGTTCAGCACAACGGGAGCAACTCTGCAGATAGCGTGTTGATTTAGTATGCCAAGGTTGGGGTCATGTCCTCCTTGAGGTGCATGTTTGGAGCAGGGCTGCAGTGTTCAAGGCAGAGGTGAGGGTAGTGTTATATGTGGAGATGGCCAGTGAGGGACAGGAGAGGGATGGGATGGATAGCAGTTGTAAATCAATGTCAGCTGACAGCTGCTGGAGGTCAAAAGAGTTAAGGTTCCTCCTGAGTTGAGGGGGGTTAGGCTGAGGTTGTTGGGTGAGGGGGTAATTGAGAGAAAACGAGAAGAGGTGGTGATCAGAGAGAGGAAATGGAGTGTTGCAGATATTAGATACTGTACATGAATAAGAGAAAATAAGGTCGAGGGTATTGCCAGCTACATGGGTGGGAGAGTTAGCCCACTGCAATAGTCAGAGGGAGGAAGTAATTGAAAGTAGTTTAGAGGATGCTGGGGTCAAAGGTGGGTTAATGGGAATATTGAAGTCTCCAAGAATTAGGGATGGAATGTTAGAAGAGAGGAAGTAAGGTAGCCAGGCAGCAAAGTGGTCAAGGAGGAGAAGAGGGGAACCAGGGGGACGATAGATAATGGCAATGTTAGCAGAGAAGGGTTTGAAAAGGCGAATTGAATGAATTTCAAATGATGGGAAAGAGAGGGAAGGGGGGCTGGACAGGGTTTTAAAGGAGCAGTGGGGTGAGAGGAGAAAACCTACACCGCCACCTTTAATGTCTACTTGTCTTGGATTATGGGTAAAGTGAAAACCACCAAAGGACAGTGAGGCAGGTGTAGCAGTATCAGAGGGAGAGAGACATGTTTCTGTTAGTGCAAGTAGCTTTAGGGAGTGTGAGATAAATAGGTCATGGATGGAAGTAGATTTAAAGGTGCTGCACACAGAGCGTGCATTCCAGAGTGCAGCTTTAAAAGAGGAATTATAGTGAGAATTACATGGAATGGGTATTAGGTTGTTGTGGTTTCTGGTGTTTGTACCAGGTGGCTGAGTAGTGGAGGGACCAGGGTTTGGAGAGACATCACCAGCTGCTAGAAGTAGTAGGATGGAAAGGAAGAGAAGGTGGGAGTAAGATTTAAATGTTGGGGATGAGAGCTTGTATTTAGGGGATTTAGGAGGGGTGTGTGGAGTAAGGCTGGATAAATATGAGTAAAGTGTGTGTGATGAATACAGAGATGAGGGGAGCAGAGAGGGAGCAATGAAGATGGTGTCAGCAGGAACAGGTAAGTAAAATGATAGTGAGATATTGATATCTATGATATGTACACAATGAACATGATACAAATTATAGAACATTGTTACTAGGACATTTTAACAAATGCTTGCCGCATTTCTTGTACAGGTTGTCCTATATACTGTGAGTATGCTGATGATTTCCAATGACTCAATGATTTAATGATATTAACTGGTATGTTTTTCCTGTATGCTATAGTTGCTGCCCATATTTTAAAAGAGTGGCCGGAATACTTGCTAGGGAATAAGTCCTAGTCTCATAATTAATATCCGGACTTAACAAAAATGAGTGGTTTTCAGGATAGATCCATGTAATGAAAGTAAAGGTTGGTATCCAGATAGTAAACATATTGTAGTATTTAGTAGCAGGTGTGCTTCTGTGTGTAGAGTTGGTGTTTGTATTTAATTTTAGCATTTTAGTGCAGGGGTGTTTTTGTATGTAATTTTTGAATTTGTGTGCAGTGGTGTGTTTGGATGTAGTGTTGAATTTTAAATGCAGATGTGCATTTGTGTGTAGTATTGATGTTTGAGTGTTTGTATATTATTTTGGAGTCGGAGTGCAGGGGTGTCTTTGTATGTCATGATTGTGTTTGCAAGGGTGTGTTAGCATTCTGTGTTGGTGTTTGCTGGGATGTCTGCACATACACTGATACATACTTTCACAGGTATACATACACATTAGCAAACAGACATGAAAACACACTGACACATACATACACACAGATACACACTGACAAAATCACACACTCGCAGTTACACACAGAAAGTGGCAAACAGATACACATACTGGCAGATACACACACTGGCAAATACACAGAGATACACACCTTGAAACAAAGATACACAAATTGCACAAAGATACACACATACACACTCAGGTACACACACATAAATACACTGAGAAATATATTGACACATGGATACACACACACACTGACACACAGTGTGTCAGTGACATATACACACAGATACACATACTGACACAGAGATACAAACACTGATACACACACCCTGGCACACAGATACACACACTAGCACAAAGATACAAACACTGGCACATACACACACTCAGATACACACACAGGTACAGATACTGACAGATACACTGACACACAGATATATACACTGGCACAAAGATGTACACACACAGATACACACACTGGCACACAGATATACATACTGACACACGGATGCACACATCTTAACACACAAATATACACACTGGCACATTCACAGTTACACACTAGCACAAATATATAAACACTGGCACATACACACACACACACACTCAGATACACCCACAAATACAGACACTGACAGATACACTGGTACAAAGATACACACATTGGCACATACACACACAGATATACACACTGATACACAGATACACACTGGCACATACAAACATGCACTCAGATACACACATTGAAACACAGATACACATACACACAAACATAAGTTATAACATTTATAGTTACTGCCCCCTCCTATTAGTTTATCTTTTTTCTGAAGAGGGTGGCTTGATTGGAGTGCTGCTGGTGTGTGGAATCTGCAGTAGCTCTCTCCCCCCTCCTGCCTTCTCTCCGCCCCCTCCCTCCAGTTCCCCAATTGGAAAATGCTGGTCTAGAATATTCTTTTCCTGGAAGAAAAGATCTTCTTCCTCGAAAGGATCAATCATGAAACCTTTTGTCTTTCCATGATGATGGTTATGAAGATTGTTTTCCTTGTGTGAGAAATGCGTTCTTTCTGTCAACGGCATATCTGGGGCTATGTTAAATGTATATATTCATTGTAACTTTTGTCACATAGTGTATTTTAATAGTAATTCCTATTCTAGTATCCCCACGTGCATAATTGCGATTTGCCTTTGTCCTGGGAGATAATTGAATTACTTCTCAATTATCTCCAGGGCAGAGGGGAGGAAGCCAGGATGCATTGTGGGAATATATTGTAACTGTATGTCCTAAACTGGTTCATGTCTGTCCTTTGTCACAGTCTCTCATTTGGTCCAATAATGGAGTGTCCACCAGGTGGGAGACCTGCATAAATACTGGGCAGGTAGCCCTCATTAAACAGACCACTGCTTGACCCGCAACACGGAGCCTTGTCTCGTCTTTGGGGGGGATTTACTGTATGCTGATAGAGACTGATTGTTAGGAGTGTAAGCCGCTTGAGTACTTTTCCTATTCATCTGCTAGCAGCTATTTGTGAGGTTCCAGTTCGGGAGTTTGGAGTGCTATTTTGTATGCAGTTCGGGAGATTGGAGCATTCCCTTACATGCGGTTCGGGAGTTTGGTGTTTTACTGAAGCTGCCTTTATATCCGAAAGGGGAATATCGCCTAAACAGATTTTAACCCCTTGTGTGCTGAAACGGTCCGTTACAACGGCTTTCTAAATGGCTTCCTCCAGAACTTTCCCAAAGAGGAGGTCACTTTGGAATGGTAAAGATCATAGGGAAGACTTTTAAGCATAGTCTACTCCCCACAAATGAAGCCATAGTGCCCATTTGGATGCTATGGTTAGGTCCATGCTCTTCGCAATCATCCTAGTTATGTCCAAGGATGCTTCAGAACCATAGCCAGCTTGAAGTCTGAGGTTCTTGATAAGGAGTACTCTTCTTACTCCTCTTGACATGTCTTTTTTTAAGTTGTCTAGCCAGTCTTTAACAGCTCTGGATAAAGTAGTTGAAGCAATAGCTGGATGTAAGGCTGAACCCAGAGCCAAATAAGCTTTGATTAAATTGGCATCCAATCTATTTTTCCATGGACTCTCTCCAGTATCTATATTCCGTGTGGATGATCAGGATTTACAGTCTTTAGAAACAAAAAGATAAATCTTTGAGGACTTATTGTGTAGGGTAGATTTCATTTCAGGTTTTTCCTATTCACCACAGATCATATCGTTAATAGTGGGGTGTACTGGAAAAGTAGGTTTTGATTACTTAAGGTCCCCTCAAAATAGCTCTACACACAGCCATTAATGTCTAAATAGTTGGCAACAAAAGTGAGTACACCCCTAAGTGGAAATGTCCAGATTTGGTCATATTAGCCATTTTCCCTTTCTAGTGTCATGTGACTCGTTAGTGTTACAAGGTCTCAGGTGTGAATCGGGAGCAGGTGTGTTAAATTTGGTGTTATTGCTCTCACACTCTCATACTGGTCACTGGAAGTTCAACATGGGCCTCATGGTAATGAACTCTCTGAGGATCTGAAAAAGAGAATTGTTGCTCTACATGAAGATGTCCTAGACCCAGAAACTGAGTTGCAGTACGATGGGCAAGACCATACTGCAGTTTCACAGGACAGGTTCCACTCAGAACAGGTCTCGCCATGGTCGAACTAAGAAGTTGAGTGCCCATGCTCAGTGTCATATCTAGAGGTTGTCTTTGGGAAATAGACGTATGAGTGCTGCCAGCTTTGCTGCAGAGGTTGAAGGGGTGGGGGTTCAGCCTGTCAGTGCTCAGACCCTATGCCGCACACTACATCAAATTGGTCTGCATGGCGGTCATCCCAGAAGGGAGCCTCTTCTAAACATGATTGCCACGGCTGCTAGTGTGATCCAACACGCAGAAACTATGTAAACATACACATACAAAAGAAAAGGAAAATAAAAGGACAGAGCATAAACCAGACCTTAGAATGGCCGGACTAATACGCTAGAGATAGAGAATGGTCAAAGGGAAAGCCGAGGTCAAGGAATCCAGAAATACTCAAATACCATTTAAACAAGCCAAGTCGGGGAAACCAGAATTCGGAATAATCAGGGAAAAGCCAAGATCAGGATACCAGGAAATCAGATTCACAAAGATAAACGCACTCTCAGGAACCAGGAACAGGAAACAACGACAGGGCAAGGAACTGGAGTGAATTAGGGATTTAAATATCCCTCTCTGGGCTCTGATTGATTAGAGGGTGACCTCTGACCCCAGAACGTTTGCGTGCATTGACGTCGTGACGTGACGCGACACGTACGTTTGCATAAATTTGAGGGGCGGAGCTTGAGATGGACGCGACCACGTGGTCGGCGCCATCTTTGACTTGGGCGCAACACCCAGAGGAGGTGGAGGAGTGGCTCCCGGCTCGCCAAACAAGCAGGTAAGCCCGTGATGTCGGCGAGGCCGTGCCGGTCAGTCACAGCCGCGGCATGCGGCTGGTCGGGAGCCACAACAATGTTGCACAAGAAAGCCCGCAAACAATTTGCTGAAGACAAGCAGACTAAGCATGTGGCAACCTGTGAAGCTCTGATGAACTACATGCCCATGAGGGTTAAAGCAGTGCTGGAAAATAATGGCGGCCACACAAAATATTGACACTTTGGGCCCAAATTGGACATTTCCACTTTTGTTGCCAACGGTTTAGACATTATTGGCTGTGTGTTGAGTTATTTTGAGGGGACAGCAAATTTACACTGTTATATAATCTGTACACTTACTACTTTACATTGTAGCAGACTGTCATTTCTTCAGTGTTGTCACATGAAAAAAAAAAAAAAGATGAAAATATTAATGTGAGGGGTGTACTCACTTTTGTGAGATACTGTATAAATTAACTGTGTGGATGAAAGCATAGAAAAGTACCTTCATTTCTGAAGGTAAGGATACCAGCAGCTATAATAGTAAAGTCCTGAAGAAATAGCAGATAGGAAACTTTCTGAAATAATTTTAGCAGTTGTATCTCTTTAAGCACGTTGTCGCTATAATGCCTTTGGAAGAGCCATGCATGTGTCGAACGATCAGTAGAACGCAGAGCGATTCACGCCATGTTTCCTGCAGGGGGTATTAAGAGGCGGCATATTCACTGAGTGCAGCACTTGAAGGGCCGCCATTTGACTTAAGCATTGAATCGCACGGTTACAAATTAAATATAGGATTTTATACCACAGACAGTGAAAGAGCCACGAAAGTTGATGAATCTCAGACAGATAAGGTAATCATTCAGAGTAGCAGAATCAGCGAGGGGGGGAGAAGAAATGGCACAAACGGGATACAATAATATGTGAAAAGGGGAAATTAGTACTAGAGAAAGGAGGCCATAGACAGTTTCAAGAAAAAGTATGTGAACCCTTTGGAATGATATGGATTTCTGCACAAATTGGTCATAAAATGTGATCTGATCATCATCTAAGTCACAACAATAGACAATCACAGTCTGCTTAAACTAATAACACACAAAGAATGAAATGTTGCCATGTTTTTATTGAACACACCATGTAAACATTCACAGTGCAGATGGAACAAGTATGTGAACAGACTCAGAGAGGTACACATGGGAAGGTTGCCAAAAAAAAAAAAATAATTAGGAAAAGTTTCTGTCTGTCTGGGTGAGTACGGGAAAAAAGATTGTTGTCTGAAGGGAGGAGAGACCTCTTATACACTTAGTCTCTCTTTACATTGGTCTTTTTCCTAAGTGACGCTGCCATGATTAGCCAGGAAAATAAATGTATAAAAAGATGAAATTATGAAACAGGATCTTTTCATTTTTAGAAAGTGTAGATTTTATAAATGACATAATTTGAAATCCACGTTAAGGCCGTTTAAATTGTAGATCCATTTCCAATTGTCCTAATTTTTGTTATATCATCACCCCTCCAATTTGATACACCTTCTATATAGCAAAACATGGGTTAAACACAGTTCTGTTTTAGTTTAAAATGAAACAAAACATTATGTTTATCATAACCATTCTTAATATTTTTAACATGTTCCTATATTCTTTTGTGTACGAGTCATTTGGTTTTATCAACCTTGTAGAGTTGACAGGTGCAAAAAAGATCAATGACTTATTTAGTAACATGTTATTATTTTATAAATATTTGTTATTGATGTTTTAATTGAGTGTGTATTTCATTTTTTTTAAATTGTTAAGTGGACATAGTTTCATGTTGTATGTTTCTTGTAATTATGACATACATCTTTGAGGTCTGATAATTTCTTTTTAGGAAAATTAGCATGTTTAATTTTATGTAATTTTATTAAATAAACTTTAATTGAAATGTTAACATCATGTGTTTGTATAATAGACAATATGAGATTTTTGGCCTTTTTTTTTTGTTTTTTTTTGTTTTTTGTTATGCTTCAGAAGAACAGACATTCTTGCTCTGCCCCAACAGCAGTGGCTAGATAATTTATTTACACATTCAAACAGTAAAAGGGCAGTTGACATTCCAACACATTTTTTATGATAATATTTTGCTTGTATAGAGATACATATAGGCTAGGAAAAACAGTTTAGCAGATAATAGCGAACGTTAGGGGTGTAGCTAAGAGTGTTGTGAGAGGAACACTGCACTATTGGTTATATGGAACACCATTGTAAAACATTAGCATGAGGCTTTAAACAGTTAGTAATAGTATTGTGTGTCTTGGCGATGGTGCAGCACGATTGAAAACTTAAAGGATGCAGTTGTGTCCGGTAAATACACTTATGTTTCTAATGCTTAGTCTCATGTAGGCACTCCAGGCTATACTATTAGTGGTCGGTCCTAGGTGTCATACAGTGCATATATCGCCTTTTCTCTATATTCTCAGAATGAGATAGAATGAAGTGTACTCCAGACACAGTGCATAGGAAAATTGAGCCAGACAACAAAATTAAAGGGAAAGGAAAAATAATAAAGAACTATGCAACATGTTAAATGCCAATATGGTGGTACCGGTGGCCCACGTCAGTCCAGTAGGAGAGTGTCCCGTGCAAAAGGAGCTGATTGAAGCAATATCAACAGTGAGGACTCATCAGCAATGGAGTAGAGTTGTAACAATCAGGCCATCAGAAAAATGAGCACCAGAGTTCAATCGATTCCCTTAGCTGTCCAGCTCTGAGTGAGCATGCCAAGTTTCTTAGGGAGAATGGCAAGGCAGATGCTTGGGGTGGCTTCCCTCCAGCCCTGGGCCCTTTTAGGGGCCAACACCACTGAGCCACGGACTTGGGGGCTCTTGGAGTCCAAGTCCTTCCCACGAGGGGGAGTGCGTGAGGTCCTGATGGTCCGGAGCCGGTTCAGGTCGCGGGCCTCTGCTTACGTGGACGGTGTTTCCGGGGCAAGCTCTTGGTGGCCCTCAGTCCAGAAGGATATACAGTGGATGAGACCGGAGTGTACAAGATGTTGGTGCCTGAAGGGGGCCTTCCCCGCTCCTTCCTCCGATTCCGCTTTGCAGGCTCTGCAGGCGACTAAGTGGGGGTTTACATGTGTTCCCTCAGCTTGGCCCCAAACTTTTCAAATATAGCCTCCAGCGAGGTCATTGAGCAGCTTAAGTAGCCAGGGGTGTTGGTAGAGTTGCCGCAGCAGGTCTCAGGAATCAGGCTTAGGCGCGTCCACCATCTTGGATTTGGAAGAGTCGCTTTACAAGCTGGTGTTATCCTCCATGCTTTGAAGGACTCTGGGTTGCAGGCCGGTATTACCCCCACCGGTCCAGAGGGGGAGGGGGTATTAGGAGTGTGGAAGACTCAATTCTTATTCTTTGGAGCAAGGAAAGCGACCTTCTCTCCTGTGCTCCGTCGCTAGTAGGCCTTGGTTCCTTTTTGTACATTTTTAATATATATATATATATATATATATATATATATATATATATATATATAGTATAGATTGGATTGCAGTATGTAATGATATATTTTTTATTGGACTAACATACTATTTCAAAGACAAGCTTTCGACAGTTTTCCTCTCCTGCTCAGGTCTGATGCAATACTGATCGATCTGATAGAGTTAAACACTTAAAACAACTGATGTTAGAGAAGGGGAAGGAGAGGGGTGAGTGGATGTTTGCAGCCTTTATCTCTGAAAAAGGCACCTTTAAATGTGAGTTTCCATTCACTCACTTTATATATGAATTTGTACTTACTACACAGAATGACACTATTTTTGTTATTTATTTTTTTGTATTTTTTTTTTACATGTTTTTACATGTCTACATGCTGCCCTTGTACATGCCTTAAGGGGTAGGTGTTATCCTATAAAAATGTTAGTGCTGCGCTCACACTTTGTGTTTTTGGTGGGGTATGTCAGATAAAAACTGTTTTACTTTATGCTTTGTGCTAGTTATACTATGTTTCAAATAATTGTAATAATCAGATTCTAGTCATTTTACTTAAAAGGTCATTATCTCTCCTCTCTCTATGCCTTTTTAGATATATTTTATCACTCTAAGGTACGGTTTTAATTTTATCACGCAATAGCTATTTATAAGGAAGACTGATGCTGCCCAGCATGTATTTATAAAATCTGATAGGAGAGGGTATTATTTAACAAATTAATACATGAATGAGGTTACACCCTTTTACTAGCAGCTCTCCGCAGAAAGAGAAACTAATGTGAAGAATTTGACCTTTGGCAGTCCAGAGATCTACACAACCATAAGATGATCATTACCTATGTACAGCTCTGCTGTTTGTTAAACTAACACTCAAAGTAAAAAACAAACTGAGTGAAAGGGCAAGACAATATGGACATGTTTCTTAAAAGATCCACAGATCTTATAGCACATATAACATTGTCTCAGCCTCTCAGCATCCCATAATTAACTATGTTTCTTTTAGACGTGTGTATGGCAGGAAATTTCAGTTATGCAGAATAATTTTTTCTGAGGATAGAACATTTTTGGGACACCGGACTCTGATCTGGATGTCAGCTGAATGCCCATTCGGGACCCAAATCAGAAGAACAAACCAAAAATGGGTCAATCGGCATGCTGGACACAATAAATACATATTTATATACATATATATTATGTCATATTAATCGGCCAACATGCACCTTTCACTTTCAGGCACATCTTCTGCTATTTATGACACCCCCCTCCACCCTTCCCTTTTCTAACATCAGTTGTTTTAAGTGTTCTCCTCTATCAGATTGATCAATATTGCTTCAGACCTGAAGAAGAGAGAAAAACTCTCGAAATCTTGTCTTTGAAATATTATGTTAGTCCAATCAAAAAGGTATCATTGCATACTACAATACTCTGGTATTTTGGCAACTTGTCTACGGGACTAATACGGCTAATCCAATCTACACTATATATTTATATATACACATACATACATATAGTTAATACATTGCTAAACACACTTACTTACTTACTTTTTTCCCCACCACAACTCTGTTGGTATGTGTATATATATATATATATATATATATATAGTAATAGAAGTAAAGTCTGGCACTCAACCCAAATATTTAATTAAAACCAAAAAGCATATAACAACGGTGCTGCTCGGCGCAGGCAAATATGTAATGAATAAATGAGAGCACTCGCTGGATTTTTTTAAAATGTATTGTAGCAAAACAAAGGATCAACGTTTTCGACAAGATATTTAAGTGTTGCAGTGAAAGCATATATATAGATAATGAAATAATGTTTGAGATTACTTACCGAGTTACTTACCCGATCACCAAAACCACCAAAAACGTTACCCCATTGAGTATCTATTGCGCGTGTGCGCAGAAAAACTTAGTTTCGTGATAACATCATGGCGTCCAGACGCGCATTAATGAGTGGCATCTCGTTGCCATAGAGATGCTACAAGATATGTGTGTAGTGATACTGTGAGGAGAAGGGAATGTGACAAAATAAGAACAATATAGAAGAATAGATGAAGAGATTATTAGAGAATACATATTGTGAGCGAAAAAGTGGAATAGTGGTTGATGGAAGATTTATCAGGCCTGATTTGCTAAACAGCAACCAGAGAATTTTCTGTTAAATACCCCAGGGAGAGATGTTAAAGTTTGCAATATACATTGCTGATGCTCTACAAAACATGGTATGGGTCCCTGGGGCGGGCCATTTGGAGAGCAGGGTGGGCCAATGCTCCAACAACACTAGTTGCTGTGTAACAGACCAGAATTTTGATTTGACTTAAGAGTTTACTAATTGGCACTCACCTGTAGCTAGTCAATTAGTAGACAGGCCTTTAAAAGGAGAGATCAGCCTACTGCAGGGTGAGGGAGAAAAAGCCAGCTAGGAGAGCTGAAGGAGAGAACAACACTTGTGTTTATTGGAAAGCTATTTTGTTTTTTTGGAAAATTGGTAAGTGGGAAAGCCACCCAATTACAGATAGTAATTTCAGTCTAGTAAGAGCTCAAGTAAGAGCAAGGAGTTTTGTTTATTATTATTTAAAGCAGCTGTTTTTCCTATCAAATAAAAAATGAACTGAATGTGTCCTGGACTTTGTATACCTTAGAAGGCTGTGGTTTATTGTAAGATCTGTGACAAAATCCTACCTGGAAAAGAGGTGGTTTGTTACAATATCTTAATTCAAAATTTAAATAAAGTATAAACAATAAGGACAGACATATGGAATCAAACTAGAGACTTCGATATAAGAAACTCAAATCAATAGGGAGCAAGGATGTAGAGATGTGAATGAACCTGTGTTTGAAATATGCAAGGAATGTGAATAGGATGAAAGATGAAGAATGAGATGAAGTGAAAAGTGCCAAACTGTGGAATAAAACC